TGCTAACAGGCCGAATCCAGTCGTATCCTCTCTGCCTCACGTTCGTATGCCGTCGTCACCCATACACGTACACAGATTCGTACTGTCAAGTGATGATGGGGCCGTAGACGAACCACGTGATTCATCTTGACATCGGAAAGCGCCCCTATATGCCGGACATAAATATCCATCGCATGTCGTGCAGTAGTAGCATTCTAGGCTTATCGCTCCCAGCAACCGTCTCGGAATACATTCCGGATACTATCGTTCGTTTGTTGAGCTGCGTGGCTGAAGATAATACTGCCGTTCAACCTCCCGGCGTTGTGAAGAATTTTCCGTCGGATGCGATCAGCTGCGGACGGGCCATCATTGCGTGCATCTCCGGGTAAATTAGTGTTCTAGCGCAGCACTTCCCCAGACGAGGACTCACGATGTCAAGCTTGGCATTACACATCGCGCACTTTGGAATGCACCGTCCCCAGATTTCTACCCCAGGATTTCTGCAACGATGCTTTTGTCACCCTTACCGCCATCGTATCGAGTTTGCGGGGTATCAACTACTCGGTAGTCGTGGCTGCCGAACTCTATAGAAGCTCGCGACGTGCCTCGTCACGAAGCCACTAGCGATATGCAATTGCTTAACAAGAGCCCGATAGCCTGGCGCCGAGCAAGGGAAGAACTCGACAAGCAGTGCAGTAGCGCAGTTGGCAACTGCCGATCAAGCAGAGCCTCCTTGGAAAAGATAACGGTCCCTACACCTTCGTGTGCTACACCTTGATTACGAGGGCATGAGGCAGCTTGTGTGATAGGTCCCTTCGTTACGAGGCGGTCACAAAGGCGGTTCTTCCTTCAGAGTCATACCGATGTGTGCATGCACTGATACGGATAGGCCTGGACGCTGCCTTGGTTGACGCTCCGACATCGTCATGGGGCATGCGCGCAGACGTGGCTTTATCTTGGGTTGAGGTATCGTGAAGCAAGATGATGCCGCCAGTGGAGCCAAGCGCCAGCGCTAACTACACACAGTTATCAATTCCACTTCTTTCATCCCACTTCTGGTTCATTGTGGGGTAGCCGTTGATCAGGCTTATCTCCAGACTCTCAACATGCTCATGATGCTTTTTCAGCCATAATCTCCTTCACGAGCCCGCTGTGGATGATAATTCCAGGCGATGCGGATAAACTATCCATCGCATGTCCAACTTTTCCGCTCTGCGGGCGTCCTCCCATAGAGGGGTTTAAAAGCGGAAAACGTCAGTGCGAATCCAAGTGGCTGGCCAATCAGCCTCACTCCGATGCATGATACGGATGCATCGGGGAAAGCTAGACTGCTGAAAGGCCGAAGCTCGGCATCTAGGCTTGGACTCCCTGCATTAACCACACCAGCGACACCTTTTTATCAGCTGCTATCTTGGCCCACCCCAGTCTAATGATAGGCGAAGGGAACCATCGGGTCTGTCACTGCGCCGTCACGCGCATTTGAAGGGTCGTTTCCGCATTGTCTGGATCCGCATCTTAAGTCCTGTTACTTCACACCGGGAATCTCACCCCATTGTCGTTCGACATTCCCAGACCTCCTCCCCTCACCAAGTCTACTCACATTCTCAACATGCCCACATTGGCTCAAGACAAGGTTCTGGCGAGAGATCTGAAGGCTAAGAAGACCAAGTCCAGGAACGGATGTGGTCGATGCAAGCTCAAGAGGGTAAGAATCCTACGTCTTTGCCTACCGCGTTGGCCACTTGCTAACAATAGTAAAGCTCAAGTGTGACGAGACCGCTCCCGGTTGCTTGCAGTGCAAGAAGAGGAACGTCGCATGCCCTGGCTACGAGAAGACTCTGAAATGGTCGACAAAGTACGAAGTCTTCAACCCTGCTCAGTCCAAGTCCACCTCTCCTAGGCCTAGATCGACACCTGACGCCACCTCTGCTGTCCCTACGGCTGCCAAATCTCCCCTTCCCCAAAACGTCGCCAGCGGCATTGAGGCTGCGTTGGCTGCCGTACTCCCTGCAGGCAGGAAGAACATCACCTCTACACAGCAACTCTCAACAACACAGACTTCATCAGCAATCCCATCTCCACCGAGCTTCGAGGAACCAGCCTCAATACACGAGTCCTCTACCGAGGATGGTGACTCTCCCCGCGAGTACGAGCCCTTCCCCATGGAGGATGTTAACAACATGGATCCTATCATGCTTGACGGATTCGCGGATGCTATGCAAATGCCCAATGAAGACTTCAACTTCGACCCATTTGAGACCATCGACTTCGACTCTGGATCACTGGAGGACCTTACCTTTGACATGCAAGACCTCTCACAGAAGCAAGACATGACTTCCTCTTCATTACCTACAATGGAACGAGATTCAACACGGGAATCCAGCCCTAGACTCTCGCGCTCATTGCTTCTCGACTTGTATCGTCTTCCAAGTCCTTCTCCAGACCCATCCTCACCGGATGATGTAGAGTCACTGCTCGTCCAGCATTACTTCAAGGACGTCTGTGGTGTATTTTCTTCTTTTGATTCTGTTCTTAATCCTTTCCGGACTACCATTGGCCGCATCTACAAGGAGTGTCCTTCCATCAACTATGCGATCCAATCCATGGCTGCTGCGCACCTGGCTAACACCTTCCCCAACATGGCGGCAACAGGCCTTGAGCTACAGCGCAAGGCTCGTGAGGCATTGGAAGCAGAGCTCCCGCTTGCACAAAGGGACCACAAAAGCACGACCAAAACTTTCTTGAGCATCATGCTGCTGGGTCTCACTACATCATGGCACGACAGCAACGCACTTGGACTAGAGTACCTGTCTCTCGCAAGGGATCTGATCCTACCTAAGCTCTTCAGCCGGTCAGGAGGAATCGAGTTCGAGCGTGAAGCACAGTTCTTTGAGGAATCCTTGATCCACTGGGAGATGCTCATGGGCTTCGTAACAGAAGACGCAATGAGCTTCTCCCCTAAGTCAGGACTACGACCTAGTATCACCTCCAAGAAGACTACTCCTGCTGCACGTGGACCACAAGGCAAGATTGTTCCTCATCCTTGGACAGGCATCGCACCTATGATTCACTTCCTGTTCGCTGAGGTCGGTCGCCTGGTTCGTAAGGAGCGCTCAATGGACCGTGAATCCTCTATGGACCTCCGTCGACGACAGGAAAACCTTCAGAACGCCGCATCGCTCGAAGAAGACCTCCTAGCTGTCGACTATCCATCGGTTGACCAGGTCATTGACACGGGTGATGAGCGTACTCCCAAGGAACACTTCGTTACCATTGCTGAATCGTATCGTCTTGCTGGCTTGTTGGAGATCTACCGCGTCTTCCCTTCCATTCTTCGCAAGCGTTTGGGATCAGACAAGCCCAAGGGCTCCGACAACATGAACCTTGACTTCCCCGCCCCACGATTTGAGACAGTCTACGAGGATACCGACATGAAGTTATGGCTCAACTCTCTTGCGATGCACATCATCGGCTCGCTTCAGTCTCTGCCATCTTCCTCTGGTACATTCTGTATTCAGCCCCTTCTGCTCGTCGTTGCTGCCTCTGAGCTGAAGTTCGTCTCATCGATTGACTTCTTCGATGTCCAGGCCAATGACTCAGAGATTGTTGGTGCTCGCGAGTTTGTCATTAGGCGCTTGCAAGAGTTCGCCCTTAGGCTACCTAACAAGCCCCTTCGCAAGATGATTCAGCTTATCAAGGAGACATGGCGCCAGTCCGATGAGGGCCATGATGCCTTCTGGATCGACGTCATGAACGAGAAGGGTTACCACACCATCATGTGAGCCCGACTCTTGTCGACTCCTACCAGTTCAGCGAGCGGGATCCGGCGGCTCCCCTTCAACCAAAACTTTATCCTTTCTACGATACACTTACGACGTCACATTAGCGCTTTTCCTGGATACGGCATTTCTCTACGGCGTTCGACATCCTGTTCCTGTTTTCTTTTACGCGCGCCATTCCCGGAGACCAATCTTATGGTCTTCACCTGTACGACTGTACCCACAGTTCCTCGATACGAACTCTAATGTACGGCTTCCACCTAGACCTCTCGGTTCTCAAGCATCCTGGTGATGTGAATGCAGACTCCTGGCCTACTGCGACAACGCCCTAATACGACTACGATACCCCCGCGCGATACCCTAGCAACCTTACCATTGCCGACTGCGATAAAACAAACCCTTAATACTGGTACCCATCTGGAATGCTCTGCCAGCAACCTTCTTCCCTTCTGCGACTATCCCATTACGATACCATCAGCTGCGAATCAGCCCACTGCGATGACCTGTTACGATGACTTGTAACGATAATACATGGACCCATACCAGGACTCTGTTCCGCATAATGACATCTATCGAGATGCCCATAGCGACAACCCGAGCGACCTGACTCTTTCCAAGCGACACACCTTCCTACTACCAAGCAACAACTAATTCCTCTTTCCACCCTTGCGATACCCCACTGTTTGTACATTAGTAGTAGTTCTCTTTCTGGTAGGTATGACTAGATGCTTCCATGTGTTTCCCGATCGCGACACTTCGTCCATTGCGGCCGTGCGTCCTTGCGCCCACCTACCTGGTTCGACCGTTTGCGCCCTGCCACGATTGGATCGATGCATCGTCCGGGTGACCTGTATGTAGATTGTTTGTTATAGCGGTTCTGCTCTTTCTTTATGATACCCAATCTCTTTACTGGTTTGTGGACCGGGTTTACTGTTCTTTTCATCGCAACATCCTGTCGCGCGCTTTGCCGTGCAACGTCATTGTATCAAACATTATTACACGAAGGAGGTGGGTGTTCGGATGCACGAAAAGAGGAAGGAGGATTGGTGGATGAAGGATGTTACGATGCTGTCGCACAGGCACCGGCGCGTGTCTCCCAAGGCAAAACTTGGGGTGCGGGGCATCCTTGAGAAGCGATGGAAGAAAGCTTGCTGAGGTTTCTCCGCAGATGTCATGGCGGGTGAAACCCCATGACATGCAACGGTCAGAAAAGGCCCAGTTATTTGTCTGGACGTGTAGTACGGTGTCACTTTACATCACGCTGTCGCATCGCTGGAACATGCATGCATAGTAAACATGTACAAGTGGAAAGTGCAACATAATACATTCATTTAAAGCCGTGATGTAGGTAATACTACATCACAGGCCTGTTTGCCTCATCATCACTATCATCATCATATGCAATGAACTCCCTCCTTCCGCTCGACGCCTGCGTAACAAAGTATCGTGTTGTCTCGTATGCTCGGAGCTTCTTTTCTGCGCCCGGGCTGCACACCAAGTCTGCTTGCTGGGGACCAGTAGGAATGGCTAGGAGACGCTTTTCCGCCCCCGATAAGCGCAACCTGCTGTGTTTCTGGCATGTTGGCTCAGGAGTGTTCTTGTTTTCCATCCTGAAAATGCAGTTAGTACGTGATACAGTTCAATCAGTTGAAGATGGGTGTAGTCTTACCATCGCTTGCCCAAATGCACACCCTCAGCAACACAAGCCAATACCGCCGACACAACAATAATCTGAAGCGCCCATAGCCCCACAAACGAGCTGTGGAACTCGGTCGGCGATGATCGAACTTCTTGATAACATAGTATCCTCCCTTGTGGCCGCGACGATGTCGATTGTGCTTCATCATCTTCCGCCATTTCTGGATTGCTCATCAACACAGACGTTGGTAATGGCTTCTGAGCATCCTTGACTGCTCCCCGCATATACGAGTTGTAGATCTCGGGTTCAGTGTGCTGCAACTTCTCCAGTTTGGATCCTAGGCTTGCGCATACATTTATTGCGGCCACGGGACTTGGTAGGGTATTTGCGGGCGACCAGTGCGCAGCCGAGGGTGTGTATGCAGCTGATGCAGGAGCCGGTGATGATGGGATATCATTGACGATCTCGCATCGGCAATGTGTTTGTGTAGGCGCCGCAAGTGTTGTTGATATGATAAGGGTCGCGATAAGCGATGTAGAGAGTTTGGCAAACATGTTTGCTGTAGTGATTGGACTTTTCTCGTAGCGATTGAGAAAGTCGATTGTATATTTAGTATTCCCTTGCGCTGGAAAAGCCACGCGGTGTGACGTTTATACCAAGATGAGGGGAAGGGGCGCAGCAGTTGTGGTTTTCTTGTATCTGTTCGGACCGTTAATGCTGTTGTCTCGGGGGTACTTGCGCTTGGTGGCTAAGATTACATACCAGAACCAAGGACTGGGCCTTGAGCGCAATGTAAGCGGGTTGCTCGATGATAAGCCGTATGATTACCACGCTTAGGTTGGTCGTTATCTGGAGGCCTGGTGTATTGAGCCGATGCAGATTAGGCAGTAGTTGGGTAGGGGAGTGCGGTGTTGCTGTTGTTGTTGGTGGTTATGAAAGGGTGCTGATGATATGCACTTGCAACAACTACAAGCAGTATACACGAATTAGATTACTTCGAATCACTCGAAAGAGACGACAGGCAAAAATCTGAATGCGCGCAGCAGAGGCCCAGTCTATATGCAAATTCCTATCATCACCCCATTCTGCTTCAGCGCAGCTGTTGTATCAGCTACGCCCACACCACGACCGGCCGTTTCGCACAGTAGCATCTCGCCGGGGGTCTAAGCGGGAGGCAGACCAGGTTCTAGGTCAGCGACCGCCCAGGGTCCCGCGCTGCGCTGCGCCTTTCTGCTGTAGCTTTAGCCGAGATGAGCACTGGTTTGAGCAGTATACGAACGGCGGCTTTGTCTGTAAAGAGGTTGGGATGAAATATTTGGTGACTTGGTAGTCTTCATTGGAAGGTTTAGCTTAGATTGCAAGGTCATTGGTGCACTGGAGGCGCAGCTGCACGGCTGGGAATGAGTTGGAGCTAGCGGAGTCCCCGCAGATCTCTAGCATCATTACTACGGCTTGGATAGATGGATGATGCTGGTGATGTTCACCTCATTAGCTAATCCACATTTCCTGCCCGATGACGAACTTGCTCGTTTTTCGCTGCTCTTGCAAGTTTTGTTCTCCTTCTCATAGAGCGGACCTCACTCCGCTCGCTTCGCCTCGCACCACCTCACAAACAAGGGGGCTCCACTCGCTATCACGGACTGCGAAACGTTACTCTCGCACACGGACGTCTGCATACGGTACCAACCCTTTTCTAGCTCTAGCACGCCTATTTTTCCTTCTCCCGCGTGCGTCTTCCCGAGTCGTACCTGAGGCTAGAACGAAGGCAAACATCCTCGGTCCTTCCCCACAGCACCTGCTATTAATACTCTTTTCTTTTTTCATTGCCCAGCGGAGTCGTGCGATATCTCGTATAGCCTACCGTTCTTTTTGAGCCTTGGTGTTGAAAGCGCGAACGCTCTGGAGGGCTCTGGACCAAACTGTTGCGCGAGTGATACGAACACCGAGTTACCTCGTGGTGTTGTTGTGTATCGCCGGCATAGCTTTTTCTCAGAATTCAAGTCTCACCTGTCACGTCAGATGTCGAACACGGCGTCTTCTCCGCGCACCACTATTTAAGCGTACAGAAATTTTCGCGGGACCGCGAGCGGAAGGCCAAACAGTTGGAGTCGTGGATTACCTTTTCCTCGCGAAACGCATGGCTTGAGCTTCCGAAACGGATCTTCATGGCTAAGAAATGCCGCGGAAAGCTTGTGGTTGATAGAGGTCAGGATTGAGGCATGTGGTGTTTCATCTTGGTGGGGTTGTATACCGGTTAGCAGCATGCGCGGTTGATATCATATCGCAAAATGGCACGATACCTATATCTTGGGCGAGGGCCGCGGTAGATATCGATTATGAAAGTGGAAGTAGTGGATGTTTTGAGTATGTCGGCAATGGAATCATTGTCTTTGTGAAACGTAGCGTAATATTGGAACCCCATACCAGCAGCCGTTGCTCAAAGACGGTAGGGTGCCTTGTGATAAGGTATCTCGAGTCCTTTACGCTCGCTGCCACTCCAGAATCGGATCCACGGGTCACTTTCTTCGTAACTGACATTCCATGGTGCTACTACATTGCAGTATTGCTTCTCAAGTCCTTCTTCGAGCTCATCCCAAATGGTTACACAGCCTGGATCCACCTTCAATACCTCCTCTCCCATAGAATCTATATGTTTCTGGCGTTCGCACTGCCCCAGAATTATCCGCTCTAACCTTCTGGTAGGAATGTCCTTCCACTCGCCCGTCCCTATACTTCCATTCTGCCTCTCAACACCTCGATCCTTCTGTCTGTCAGATTTTGTGGCCGAAAGCTCGACGTGATGTGCTCTTCCATCGTGACATTCTTTCGGGAGCGCCATCCTTGTAATATTGCTCTTCTCTTCCTTGAACCATACCATACTGCAGAATCAACATCAATTCTTTCCTGAGACAGGGTCCGGGCTTGGTGGTAGGTACACTGTTGATTCGGAGAGAGCTAACCGCTATGTTATATTGACTGACGGCTCGATTGGACCTTCTGAGAATCTTCCCCAGAGATGCGGTTGTGGTGTAAATTCGGTCAGCAATTCTTGGCCCTTCTTTTCAGTACAACATTCCGTTCTCGTGTCGGGAGCATCATCGGATCGGACGGCAGGACATTCATTTTTACCGCGGCCGACCCAAACTCCGAATGTCCATTGTACCAATTGAGCAAGTTTGGAAACACGAGAAGCACGGCAACCTTCAGTCATTTCAGTCCAGTAATTGCACATATACTGCTTACAAACTGTGCAATGTCTGTGTATGCTCGGTAACTCGAATCTGTCGACTTTTTCGGTGCGTAACATAAGCCATACAGCAAGTGAGGGAGGAGTATATGGCCGGTGTTCGGTTGCGTCACAGCGTGCTATACCTGCTGGAGGCAGTTTTGTTGCTTAGGAGTGACATAATCGGCTCGTGAGAGTAAATGAACGATGAACCGATAGCGGTAGCTTATTGGAGTTGACAGTGTGAACGAGCTGTGTGCCGATGATGCCATGGAGCGATACATAGATGGAAGGTAAGCATGAGGACATGGCTCCTCAATATTCAACTCCTAGTACCTCATCGAGGCAACGGCCACCGTGCTTCGGTCGGAAGGAACGACTTGTTGCTCACGGTAGTGATAAGAGACCTCGTTGCTATATTCGTACGATGTGTCGAGCACAACCCGTCAAACGCTCTGCAAGACATGCTTGATCGCAAAAGACAAGTGGTGGTGAATGAACATATTCAAACTAGGCACTGAATGCTTATGCTTTGACATCTCTGATATTGACGTTGTACGTACGCTAATCTGGCATGAAATTTTCTTCCTCTCCATCCGCTCTTGTGATTCGCATCCCACCCCCAGTATCCGCCTCTCGTCCACCTACATCATCCACCATCTAAGCACTCAAGCCACTCTAAATGACAATCGTCCCATTCTCTCCAGTGATGAGATCGATCTCTCCAGGAATGACCGTTCCGTTGTCCACAGCCGCAGCATGTCCCCTTGCCACCATTCCGTAAACCGGCAAGTACTTGTCCAGGTATGGCAGTACCTCCTTCGCACCGGGGGTGTTGCGCCAGTCCCTCATCAAGTCACATACGATGGAGAAGAGCGAGACAAGTTGAACACCTGCGGCTTGCATGCGCGAATTTGCTGTATCGCGCACGAGCTCCGAGTAAGTACCACTAGCTTCGACGTTGGCAAAAACAGAGTAGCCTTCTGCACGGAGGGCAAGGGCGAGGAAGGTGGTGCAGACGTCTGTAGTGATGCCTCCGACGATGATTTGGGTTTTGTTTGCCGCGCGGATAGCGGCCTTGAAATCAGCGTTGTCCCAGGCGCTGGGGATGTGTTAGCTGAATGCGCAGCGATGGACGTATTTTCGAGTGGTTAGGTAATAAGAGGAGGTGAACGAAGCAGAAATCACTTACTTAACCTCGCCTTGACGTCTAATGAGCGGCGCATCGGGATACATCTCCAACATCTCCTTGGGCAAAGGACCGTTGGGACCTTGGTCCGCAGACGTACTTAGGATGACGGGGATGTCAAAGACCTTGCCTAGCTCGGCATGTGCCATGATGTTTTGCTTGTAGAGGGTTGGGTCCCAATCTCTGGCGAGTTGGAAGAGACCGACTTGCAGATCGAGAATCAGGAGTAGCTAGGCTGGACGTCAGATTATGGTATAGGTTGAAAATTCGGATGGCAACTTACTGCGTCGTCTTTGTCAATGCGCTCCCATGGTACAGCTGATATATGTTAGCTATTGGAAGATATGTATTGTTTGACTATCGTACCATCACCGCGAACGGTGTTGAGAAGCGTGAGAGCCGCAAGGGCGATGGTAGAAGCGAACTTCATCTTGAGGGCTAGTGATGGAATTGAATAGGCAAGCTATGCTATTGAAGTCTGGGAGGTGTTCGATAGCGATGCGATGACTGATTGTTTACAGGCGGTGCAAACCTCCCTTTATACCTCGAAGTCCTCCTCTTCAGCCTGTCAACTCTTGCATCCCGCTCAGAGCCCAGTCCATGTATCCACTGCTTCGTGCCAATGTCTCTACGGCCTTGGCCCGCAAGCCTGGTCTCGTATACTGTGGTTCAACCCGACATCTGGGTGGAGTTTGCAGTGGAGTTCTACATCGCGCAGCTTGCTGACTACTATCTTCATCAGGGAATTCTGCAGCCTCAATGCTATGAAAGCCATGACTAACCAGTAGACCGGATTGCTTCCATCCCAACTACGACAAAACTGGTTACCTGCGCGGAGTAGCCCCGCGTTACCGCCCGTAGTCTACCCATCGTGCATGCCCGAAGTGGATCACCGTCGACATCGTTGGTGTTGAGACCGCACGCATGGAACGTGACCGGTATAATTTCGTCCTGAATAAGTCTTTGGTAACCAGCAATAGAGTATGCAGTACATGTAGGGCGCTGCTGCTAACGTCATGGCCCCATGTACTTTCGCCTCGGTTGAGGCTGTTGTGCATCCGGAGCTAACCGGTTACCACCTTAGAAAGCTGCAAGTCAGCAACAAGGCTCTTATTCATCAGCATTTGGTCACCCGCGCTTGCACTCAATCCTCATACAATTTCGACAGGGTCGAGGATCTGTGCTTCAAGCATTTTGGTCAGGAATTGGAAATTCTAGTCTCGCGTTTGACTGGTGGAAATGCCCTAGAGAGTACGTACCGATTGTGACTTCCGACAAGCACGGTCATGAGTAAGCAATAACAAAGACGTAGCGCAAAAAAATCATCAAACAATCATCGTATACATGAATTACAAGACATTACGTATTCATTTACTAGCCGCTAACTCAAGCTATGTTGTACTTTCAGAAGCTTTTAACCTGCTCGGAAGCGCAGCGACAAGTCAAAGCGACAGAATGCAAAGCTTGAGATGTTTACTGCGCAGCAAGACCATTGCTTGCCAAGAAGTCCTGCATGACTTGGTAACCAGCGGTGGCGTTGTAATGGAAGTTCAAGCCGTGACCAGTGTTAGGCTGAATGTACGCCTCGAAAGCAGAGGCTGATGGGTAAGCCATGGCGACACCCTCGGGGATGTTGGAGGTGTTTGTACCCATGACTTGACCGTAGCAGTTTCCTCCACAGAATGGTACGTCGTTTTCACCGGTGATGACAAGGACGGGGCCAGTAAAGGGAGATGAACTGGGCGAGCCACCGATGGTCAAGAGCTCACCGGTGGTGACGGGCTGCTTGGTCTTCTCGGCTACGAGAGCTAGGCCAACGTCGTAGTTGCCAGGCTGGAGGAAAGCGTACTGCAAGGCAGTGAGGTCGGAGTGTGCCAAGTATCCAGAGGGGTAGTTGAGGGTGTCAACTGTTTTGTTGTAACCGTTGATCAGGTCGAGGACTTCGGTGGTGGCGACCTCGTTCCATACCTCATCAGAGGTCAGGTCCACACCAGCAGCTGCGAGGATCTTCTGAAGACCACTGACGACGTTCTCGCTCACATCATACTGGTCGGCGATAGCGCGGACGACGGTGTTCGAGGAATTTCCGAAGCGCAGAGGCTGGTTAAGGCGAGCGCTGTGCAGGTTCCATCCGGCAGTGATGTAGGCCAGGAATTGTCCGGCTACAGAGAAACCAGTAAGGATAACACCGTCCGTGTTCTCAGGGTAGAGAGCGGAGAGCCAGTAGGACTGGACACTACCGAAGGAGTGACCAACGTGGATGACCTTGTCGTATGCGCAGCTAATCTCTGGGATCTCGCCCTTGCGCAGTTGCGTAGTGACAGAGTTGAGAGCTTCAACTTCAGCTTGGGCTTGGATCCTGATAAGAAAAGAGAATGGTCAGTAAACTATGCAGAACGAGTTGCGTTTCCCACTTACTCGTTGAATGGGTCTCCATGAGAAGATAGACCGATACCTAGACGGTCGATCGCGAGCGTACTGTAGCCAGCAGCCAGGGCCACATCGACATAGCTGTAGTTGTAGTTGTCGTACTCGAGGTCCCAGTATGTCTTGTCGAAACCAATACCGTGGCTCAAGAGCTGGATGGTTTTGCCGTTGCCACTGTCTGGCTTACAGTACTGTGCGGAGATGTTGTAGGTACCCTCCAACGTTTGGTAACCCTCAAGAAGCTCTGCTGTGTAATTCTTGCCGAATTGATTAAATCGAGCAACGAATGCGCCAACATCGAGGTTGCCTTCGACGGGCACTTCCTTGAACTGTCCTTGCCTCGAGCTAATCGACGTCTCAATCATGAAGGTCGAACATTGCCTCGCGGCCGCGAAGCCAGCGAGGGCAAGGGGTAAAACTGCTTTGACTGGAGCCATGGTTGTGAGTAACGTGAGGTTGAGTAATCACTATCCAGAGGAGGAGACAAAGAGAGAAAAGAAATATTCGCTCAATGGATTAGGTGAAACACGACCTGAACAGAGCTTACCTTCACCGCGATGCAATGTGGCTGCCTGACTATATAGTACGTGGCCGTGTAAGCATGCGACTAGCTGCCTTTCCCTTCCGGCCCTTCCAAATAGGAGCCATCAGTAAAGTCATAGCGCACGAACTCGTCGATCGGAAGCTTCCATAGCGTTATCCAGCGGTTCGCCATCCAAATTGACGTTGTGCAACCAATAGTCACTTACCGGCGTTTTGGTCAAAGTACCGTGAGAAACTGTTTGCATGTTCAATCGGCAGCTAACGCGGCAAGACAACATCCGAAACTGTGAAATCGTGGGGTACCAGAGTGTAAATTCTCAAATCGGGCGCAGCTTCGGCCTAGCAGCGGATATTCCTATGGCATCATAGGCTGAATTGAGTAATCGATGAAGCTCTTCGAGCGCTAGCTCTAGTATGTGGAGACTACTTTCCCACTCCAGCGGAAGCTACCACAAGCGGGTACATTGCGATCTTCCATTCTAGAAGACGTCAATAGCACATGCGTAGGACGTATTAAGATAACGGGAAGCCTCACCGGACAGCTTCCTCACGCTGCAGGTTGGTCAGCCACTTTCTGCTTTTAAGCGGTAGTTTTGGCGGACACGCAGGGAATCCTTGCAGCCCAAGTTATCGTTCATTGCCTCTGCCCATGTGCTCGTGGTGGTGTCCGGAAGTACCAGTGGTACACAACCTGCATGGGCATGTATAGTCGGAACGATTTCGAGGCTCGAGGATGACGATGCGCTGTGATTGGACACAAAGGCGTTATTTTCGAAGGTCTGGATGCCGAGATTGCCAAAACGTTGTTGCTTATACATTCACGTTGAGCTGTCATTGAGCACGGCTGCCGTGTCCGTGGTGTTGATCGTTGATTTGCGCTAAGAATTTGGAATTCCTACGCCTTGATCGCAGAAGGAGTCCGACCCCTAAGACGTCATCATTATTCCTAGACGGCAGCAAGGCTTCCGTGACGATCGCAATCGCGCGTTCCCATCAAAAACCCATTATTTGCAATAGAGAAAATGGGTTTTGTAATCGGCGGAAAGGGGGAAAGCAAAGAGTAGGTGAGGCGAGGAGAGATAGGAAAAGTAGCGATGCGTCTGAGGGATGGCGCTAACCGAAATCGTTCTACATGCAATTCTGAGAAACATACAGCCAACATTCAACCAGTTTCTCCTAGGAAACCTTCTTCTTCAACATGTAATCTCCGCCCTTGACCGCCTTGTAGATGCCATATAGCCCACTCAACAGGTCATTGCTCTTCACGATCCGCTTCAACATACCCTTCAGACCTGGACCAAATTCCTCCTTCCTTCCCCTATCTTTGACCTTGTCCCATATACTTGGCAGGGAATTTGCGTTGTACTTGCTACGAAGAGCATCGTACTCGTGCTTGTCGTAGACTTGCCACCATTCGTCTTCGGTATAGAAGACACGCGAGTATAACCACTTGAGTCCACCAAGCTCGCGCATCTTTGCTTCGATTTCGCGATTTGCGCGGACATACTCAACCTCGCTGGATGGATATGGACCCCAGATTCCAACACTGATATATTTACCGTCGTATGCACCCATCTGCTTTCCGCCAATCGGGCCCTCGAACGGCTTAGGGTGTCCCATAGAGCTTCTACCATCCTGTCGCAGTGGACACAACCAGATCGGGTATATATTGAACGATTGGTCCGCATAGTCCAAGAAGGATGCAGTGTTTGCCGCCGGAAATGCGATGTCGTGGATTATAAAACGGTCCGTATACCCAGAGGCATGTAACGCGTGATACATGATTCGTGTGTGCATGAAGTAGTCCAGCAAGAAGCGTGTGAACCGCATAAAAGGGACCATAAACTGCTTGTAAGCATACATGCCCATCCAGAACGCCCCACGATCGTAACGAAACAGGTAGTCTTCTACCGGAACAAGTTCCTTTGTAATAATACCCTTCGATGCAAGCGCCTTCGCGCGTATCCAAAACCATTCGTCCCAGGGTCTAGAGAATCGTTGAATAGGTAGCCCAGGCGTATGTTCTGCGTCAACGAGGCGACCTGTGACTATAACTCCGGTGCCTTTGGAGAATAAGACCCCATCAACGTAGTCGTTCCTTTGGTCGGTGGTGTGGTATTGCATCTTGTCTGTGGCGTTCTCAAAGGAAAACGTTGGGTGGTAGGTGACCTCGACTAGCTTTTGCAGAGGGATGAGCTGCAATTCCACCAATGTGAGTACCCCGAGAGTTCCAAAACTACCTCTCAGACCTTCGAAGAGCCCTTGATTCTCGCTCTGAGAAGCCGTGACAAGCGTGCCATCTGCCAAGACCACTTCAGCGCTTAGGACAGTACGATCGAAGAAGCCGTGCTTGAAACTGCTGCTTTCTCCTGCTGTGCCCACAAAACCTCCTCCTACGGTAATGCCTGGAAATTCCATGACAACTGGAGGCAGCAAGCCCGCTTTCATGGTTTCTCTGACCAAGGCATCCATGGGGACATTAGGTTCGACAAGCGCTGTTCTCTTCTCTCTGTCGATAGATAAAACGTGGTTGAGGGAGCTGACATCGACAATGGAATCTCGGTCGAAATTAGCATGGCGAGTGGAATTGGTGCTGCCATGGTAGACTCGGAACCCGGTTTTGGTGTTGTAGAAATGCTGTATGCGAGAGCGAACTGTCTCTACAGTAGCTTTGTGTTGCTCCATCTGGAAAGATAGTGTAGAGCCAACTGCAGCCATGCGATTGTGAGTGCAAAGCTCCTAGTATTGGCTCCCTGCTTGATGCGTGGCTGATGAGGCTGAAGAAGTTGCGCTAGCAGTGGGTCGAACTTGCCCCACGAATCCAGGAGGTTAAACCACCAGTCCTTGCTTCTGCTTCTGCAATTGCGGAAAAAATGAGCCAGAAGTCTATCAGCCACCTCCAGCCATCCAGTGATCGTTTCTGTCGTATAGTATACGCAAGCAAGACCCGTGGAACTGGGTAGTCGTTCTGAACGCCGTACGTCAGCGTCCTTAGCGAGTGGATCGTCTTCCGCGCTTCCGGTCACCATGGGGGCGCGCGATTCCATCGTCCGCGAGACGGAAAGCGACACTCGCGCGTCCGACTGCGATTCAGACTGCTCTGAATTACGTTTACCAAACTTAGATATCTCCAGTGATATGGAATCCCCAGAAAGCAACGTATATCGATCCTTTGCCCCGCACAAGAGTAGTTCTTGGCCCGGTGCGAGTGGTCAGATATTGACTTTAGCAGGATCGAACGGGTAGTGGAGAAGGCGCGGCGGCCCTACGCTTATGTATACATCAAAAGTAATGCGACGCCATGTTCTCTTCATCCTCGAATCGCCCAACAACATTGTTACATCGCATTGCATCATTATATTCACACCATGGATATACACAACTCAACAGTAGCAACACTCGCATCGCAGGTCGCCCGATTCAGTGCCTCGAAAACTCCGTTTCGCATATATCATGGTTCTACGCTGTCAACCCGGAAATCGTCTCGTGATCGCAATCAGATTATCGACGTTAGTTCCCTGAACCATGTGATAGAGTTCGATGAGCTTCAGAAGACCGTCCTCGTGGAGCCGAACGTGCCGATGGATAAGCTTGTAGAAGCCACAATGGCTAAGGGTTTCTTGCCAAAGGTCGTTATGGAACTTCCGAACATTACCGTGGGTGGTGGGTAAGTTACAGGGATCTGAACAAAGATTACTCTAAGTCAGAGGACTAACTAGTGTTGACAGGTTTGCTGGTACCAGCGGCGAAAGCAGTTCATATAAGTATGGGCTGTTTGACCGCACTATCTCGGGCATTGAGCTCATCTTAGGTAACGGCGAGGTAGTATGGGCATCGGCAGAAGAGCATCGCGATCTGTTTTTCACAGCAGCAGGGAGTTGCGGCAGCCTGGGCGTCATTACCCTGCTCAAAATGGAGCTTATTCATTCTAGTCGGTATGTTGAGTTGGAGTACATTCCAGTCGGCTCAACGAACGAAGCCGTCAAACAATTGCGACACTATCAAGATGATCCTGAGGTCGACTATATGGATGGCATCCTGTATTCGATGACGAGCGGAGTAATCATGATCGGCCGCTTGACCGACGCCCCAATGGATAGGAAAATCCAGAGTTTCGACAAAGCGACAGATCCTTGGCTATACATGCACGCAGAAGACATACTAAAGCGGACACAGAGCGAGAAGACTACATACAGGGAACTAGTGCCTGTTCAATCTTATCTCTTCCGCTACGACCGAGGTGTCTTTTGGTCAGGACTACGCGCATTCAAGTACTTCGTAACGCCTTTCAATCGTGTTACACGCTTCCTGCTGGATCCCTTCATGTATTCGCGGACAATGGTACACGCCCTACATCGATCGGGCCTCGCCTCCCGAACAATCATTCAGGACTATGGTGTACCATATGACGCAGCAGACGAGTTCGTTAGATGGACCGACGAAAGGACGGGCATTTGGCCGCTCTGGCTGTGTCCGGTGAAATCAGCACCTCTCGGGGAGCGAAGCTTCTCCCAAGGCAACAATGTCAAGGACGACATTCTGCTTGACGTGGGGATATGGGACATGGGACCAAGCGACGCTCACGCATTTATCAAGCTGAACAGGGATTTTGAAGCCAAAGTCACTGAGTTAGGCGGCATGAAATGTCTGTATGCGCATGCGTACTACACTGAGCAAGAGTTCTGGGACATCTACGACGAGAAGAAGTACATGGAGCTCCGGAGAAAGTACCATGCCGAGAGCTTGCCAAGTGTCTACGACAAAGTGAAAGTTGATCTGCAAGGCGTTGCTGGGGGAGCAAGCGTGAGGAAGACGGAAACGTGGAATGACTGGGCATACCGGCAATTTTGGGATACATGGCCTTTGGGAGGGTTGTACGGAGTTGCAAGCGCAACGAAGGGGTTGTTTTTCGAAAGTGACTTCCTGTTGAAGAAGTAACAGCGCTTCCGTGATAGCAAACGTGGCTAGAGATGTGATCGGAGAATGCATGGGGAGATCCATTGCATCGGCCTACCCCTCAAAAGCATAGTAGTCCATGTCCGGGCCGTCTGTTGCCCTGACAGCTGCCTGCACGTCTAGACTCTAGTACAATGAAGATCAGCTAGCTCGAGGTTCGAACGCGCACTGTAGTACGTGAAGAGGCGGCGATGACGTCGGGCTCTTTGTATAACGACGCGACAGAGGCTCGTCTGCGCAGCGGATCCGAAAGAACAAACCGGTTCACGGCCTGTTTCAGATGTTAGATTGCTAGTGTAGTGAAAACGCGTAGATGGCGCCGGTAGTCGCGTCGACGTCAGTGGAGGTTAGCGTGAAAGCTGGACGACTAGGGGCCTCGACTCACCGCAAGCTCGCATTGACGTAGCAAAGAGCTAGCCGCGACCCCAACCACCCCATTTCGCCCACTACCCAACCCACTATTGCAGGTGCCCGTCAACCACTTTTTGATTATATCAAAACTTGGCCCTGCCTTTCTCTCTCCATATACCCCCACTACAACCATTCCCACCGCACTCTCCACTGGCACCAGCTGCAACCGTTCGCTGTTGTCAATCACGGGCCATTGGACGATCCTGCCCTGTTGACGAATTTTTGGCCAGGTACGCGAGCTCCAACAACACGACGTGTCGCAGCAATTCACCGCCGCCGCCGCCTCGCAAAGCCTTTGTTGTTTGTTTGTCAGGCACCGTGTACTAAAGGCAGTCGCAGCTCAACCTTCTTCAACCCGCTCAACCATGGCGCGCCTCAGTGGCCTCCCATCCGAGCACCACCACGAGGGTCCCGGTGACGCTCCTCGACGCAAACGCGGCCGCCCGTCCAAGAACCAGACAACCGACGACATGTCATCTGTCGGCAAGCGAACCGCGTCGCCCTCAGCGGAGCTCTCTCAGACGAAGCGCACCAAGCGCCTCCAGACCATCGAGGACGATGACGAGGACCAGATCGCCGAAGAGATGCGGCAGTCCTTCTCGCGCTCGCAGCGGGGAGACAACGTTCACGTCCAGGAGCAGAGCACCAGCACCACGCGCCGCTACAACCGCCGACACTCTGAGCCTCCAGTCGCCGCCGATGACGAGGACGACGAGCTCATGTTCAACCGACCCGCCTCCACACAGCCGCTACCTGGCCTGACACCCCATCTCGACCGTGTCGGTGCCTCCCGCAGCCGCTTCACCAACACCCGCCGCGCCCGCATGTCCATGCCAGCTCAGCTGCACGTTGAGCGTGTCGACGAGGTCGAGAACAACGGCAACCGCGTTCAGTTTGCGCCCCTCACACAAGTCCTGGATGGCCGCGCGCGTCGCCGCCTCCGCCGAAGCCATCTGAGCCAGGAGGTAAACGACTTCGAAGACCACCAGAAGAAGGACAAGAGGATGTTCCTGGAGCTACGTCGTCAGCTCAAGGCCCAGGATGACAAGATCAAGGACCTGGAATACCGCCTCGAAGCCCGCCGGTTAGGTGAGATCGACATCGCAGACGCAGACGCCAATGACCTGCAAGTGGAACTAGACGAGGCCCGTCAACAGATTGACGAGCTACGCGCTTCTTCCCTGTACAATGGTGACGACAATGAACCAGTTGACATGTCCGACGACGAAGACGGTATGGTCATGGTCAACCCTGACGACCTGAACATGTCGCAAGATCTTGACATGGAGCCGACACCCGTTGGCAAGTACTCTTCCCGCGCGCTAGAGATTTCCAGCCAGATGACACTCGAATCCTTGCCATCTCTATCGCAACTCAGCCGCGACAATCTCACCGAAGGCGAGGATATCATAATGGACAAGATCGAAGACGAGGCCGTCGAGCGCTACGAGCGGGAGCTGAAGCAGATGAGCAAGGCCTTGGGTGAGTCTCAAGGTGCGCTGCGCTTGATCACCATCGAGCTTCAGAACCTTCGCTTCATTGAGGCTGGTGCTTCTTCGAGCGAAATTCTGACCGACTTGCGCCATGGTTTCGAGGACCTTCGCGCTGAGATTGAGAAGTTCTTCCCCGGTACCACCGTTGGTCTTACCAACCAACAACTTCTTCAAAAGGTCCCTGAGCTCTTCAGCGGCCTCTTCTTCGAGCTCAAGCAGCAGCTCTCTCAAATCACCATCTCTCAAAAGGCCGAAGTGCTTGTCCGACGACAATACGAGGGTGTTCTCGACCTGCTGGGCGAATCAGACGAGCGCGTGAAGCAGTTAGAGTCAGACGTCTTCACACTTGATAAGGCAAATGAGGACAAGGCGCGCGCCATTCTTGATCTCGAGGAGCGCAACGCTGCCCTGACGGAACTTTCTAACCAACAGGAACTCACTCTCGCCGAACAAGATAGCGCAATCGCTGGTCTGCAAGATGAGAACCAAGACAAGGACGTCTCTCTGGCACGACTACGCGAAGCTCTCGAAAAGTATCGTGTGGACCTCGACAACGTCACCGCCGCCGCAACCGAATTCGAGACAAACCACCACGAGACGATCGCACGCATGGAACAGGAATACACCGAGCGCATCCAGGCTCTGGAGGCAAACCTCGATGCTGAGCAGGAGGGTCGCGATGCTGCCGAGGCCGAAGTAAAGCAAAAAGATGCTTACATTGAGGAGTTAGAGGACAGCATTGCGCGCATGGAGACCGATGTCGATAACATCACCACCGACATGACTACTCTCAGAGAGCGTCTGGCTGCGCAGACCGCCGCCCGCGAGACTGCGGAGGGCGAGCGTGACGACCAGATCGAGCAAGTCTACCAGCACGCCAACACCATCGAAAACCTCAACGATGCCATCGTTGAACTCAAGGAACAGCTTGCCAACACCCGAGAGAATCTAGGTTCTGAACGTGCTCAACGCGAGAAGACCGAGGCTGATCTTGACGAGGCGAATGACAAGATCGAAGATCTCACCACCCGCCTCCATGACACTGGCCTTCAGGCTAATGAGCTGCGATCTAAGCTTTTCCAACTCCAACAAGAGAAGGAGACCGCTCTGGCAGAGCTGCAAGAAGACGCCGATGAGCGCGAGCTTGAACTGAACAACCTGCTCGATGCAGAGACTGAGCTTCGTCAGACTAAGGAGAACACACTTGGTCAGTTGGAGCAGCAGATCCTCGGCCTTGAGAGTGATATCGCGACACTTGAGAACAACCTGTCTGACATGACCGATGCTCGCGATCAGCTCGAGCAGGATCGTGACGTCCAAGTCGCCAACCTTGCTGCTCAGCTCGCTGACCTGAAGACCAAGTACATGGCGCTGGAGAACTCCACCAACTCCACCATCACCTCACTCCAGGCCAACATCACGGACCTTAACAACCAGATTCAACGGCAACAAGCTGAGATCAACGATCTCTTCGATCAGGTCACTGAGAAGGAGCGCATCTACCTTGAGGATACGACTGCCCTCCAGGGAAGGATCGATTCTCTTGAGGAGGATCTCACTGTTCAGAAGGCGGAGAACGAAGGCTACCGCAAGGAGAACTTGTCTCTCTCAAGGCGTGTTGAGTCCGAGGCCAACGAGCTTCTGAACATTGTCGACGCCCACGCTAACGAGGTCAATGCCCTTAATGCTGTCATCAAGACACAAGAGGCCACCATCAAGAGCCTTCAAGATGCCTCTGCGAAGCGCACTACGGAGTACGAGGAGATGATTGAGGAGCGTACAACTGAGCTCACAGAGATGCGTCTGCTAGGCGAAGCTCGCCTCGAGACCATTATACTTCTGGAGGCCCAGATCGAGGAGATGAAGGAACGCTTCCGTCTTGCTGAAGAAGACACTCGTGCCACCATCGACGCCCTCACTGCCTCGCAACGTCAACTCCAGGAGCAGAATGAGCGTCTTGCTGATGACTTGAAGCGCCGCAACCAGGACGCTCTCCAAGCCGTCCAAGAAATGAAGCTCAAGCGTGTTGAAGTTAAGACCCAAGGCGTGGGCGACCTCCACCGTGTCGCTAATGGCAAGGTCTTGAAGACCAGCGAAAAGGTCAAGATTGGAAAGAAGGGCAAGAAGAAGGTCTCTTCTAGGCGTCAATGGGACTCCGGCTTCGGCGTTGATGAGAATGTCGAAGACGAGGAGCTCAACGCAGAGGAGCCACTTGCTGCATAGAGTGCAGTAGCTGATGATGATTGCAAGTTCGCTTGACTTTGCAGGTTCAGATTATATTTGGGTCCTATGTTGTTGCTGTCACTGCAGAGCAGTATTCTTGTTTTTTCTTCTCCCTTATATTTTTGGACACATTACTTTGGGTAACAGATTGTTTCGTTTGTCATGATACATCCGGCGCTGGCATTTGCTATCTTACGACTCGACGACCTGGCTTCAACGCTTTGTTTGATAGGATAAATGGTGGTAACGATATCGCAGTGTATTGCATAGCGCACGGTGCCTGGGTTCCAGTTACGGTCACGGGGAAAAGAAGTAGTGTAATGACCCTTGTTCTATCTTGTACAGATTCTCCTTTTTTATCATCAATCACAACAACAAGATCAGAACTCCTTCCTCTCCATTCGCATCACTGCATCCGTAAAAGAACCTTGTATGAGCATATTCTCTCCCAGGATGCTGGTTAAACGTTTTGGAGCCTTGCGTGGCCCCAACGTTGAACGCTGGACGGGAACTGTCAACATGGGTCTTCCCGTCGTGTTCTCGTATCCCTGAAACAGATCTGCAACAACGCGTTTCGTTGCCTATCAATCGGTCCGCACCCCACCCAGCAATCGGAAGTTTAGCAACTTCCGAGGACCAAAGGCAACCCAAAATCATTCAACTCCTTTTCTTTTCTTCCCTTCCCTTTACTCATCGCCGGCTCCACATATTCACGCCTAGCAAATATCTCCCCCCTTCTCGTCGACAACACAGGCCAAGCACAATGGGTAGCAGCAGCCTCAACCCATCCTCTCCTCGCGACGATGAAACCGTGCTCTTCCTCTTCATCGCCTTTGCTATTCTCATCGTCCTTCTACTCTTGCTGGTGTTGATCTCGTGCCAGACGTGGATGTTGTGGAAGATGGCAAAGGCGGTTGTTGAGCAGGACACTCAGATTACACAGCGAGGGCGAAAAGGGTATGGATATGATAGTAGTGGAGTAAGTAAGAGCAGGAGTGTCAGAGGTAGTATTTATACCGATGGCGAGGAAGAGAGGAAGTTGATGAGTGGAGGTAGTGGTAATGGACCAGAGGGAAAGAGGAGGACGGGGGTTTGGGGAGTCGGAGGGTGGGTTTGAGGTGGATGAGTTGTGCACTTTAAACTAGGAGGGATTTGGGAAGGTCGTAGGGACGACAACTTTGATTTGGTACGTTACAAGAGGACGAAAATCAAGGATAGACAACAGGGGCCGAAAAATGCTACGCAACGACACGCCCGCCTTTTACCTCACACCACCAGTTCCGCCTTTGGCTTCAACAACATATCCTCCAAAACCCGATATTCTTCCCTCAAAGCCGCGACCTCCTGTCTCAACGCTCTTTGGTCCTCAGACAAGCATTTCATCTCCTCTGCTACGGACTTCGCCTCCTTGCTCACACTGGCTAAACCTGTTCCATCCGACTTCTTCACAGACGGTCTATTAACAGCATGCGAACGATCATGAAATATACCCGGTGGAGCGGGTGAATACAAAGTACTTGGCGAGGTGTTGGATAGTGGGGTATCCAAGGCATGGATACTGAGTTGATGATGTTGTGGCAGTGATGGAGTGGGTGCGTTGGAAGAAGTTACCGATTGATCGGTATTTTCGGCAAGGCCAGCATCGACAAGATTCGTGTCTTTGACCGCGCCTGAGATGGAGCGGGAGTATACGCTGCTAGGTGAATTTGCTCGCGTGTCAAGCGAGTTCGTCATGGGCTGCCGTGGTAGAACTGGTGTTAGGTTGCGATGGTTGTAGTTTTGGAAAAGACTACTTTTAGCTAGGAGGCCGGGTACGGGGTAGTAGAGGCTTTCGAGCGAAGATGACGAGTCTGCTGCTGTGGTGGTGGCGGCGGCGAATGCGTGGTTTCGAGGAGCTTTTGATCCAGCAACTATATTGCTCGGGCCTGCCATGTCGTTTACGCTCTCATCGGCAACCGATTCTCTTCTCGTGCTTGGCGTTGAGCATGAACATGCATTGCTGGGCCATTCTGTCTCTGAGTCGATTCTTCTGAGAGCAGGCTTCAATATTGGAAGATTAGGTCTATCTGGGAGGGTAGAACTCAGATCCAATTCAAGCTCTCGTGCTTTGCTCAATGAACGCCTCTCAAACATCTGGGCGGTGGGACGGGAGTACAGACTGCTCGAGCTACCCAAAGGAGACGACGATCCTGGGTCGGCTATAGTTACGTGTCGCTGAGCTTTTGGCATGACCCGTAACCCGCTCGGTGCTTCCGCCACAGTCTCTTGATGCTCAACAGACTCCTCCTTCATCATGCCGGATGTTGGACGAGAGTACAGACTGTTGGGTGTGTTGAACGCAGTGGGAGAGGACTGTGGGAAGGGCACTGGACAGATCGTCGTTGAGGTTGAGGTAATCAGTGGTGATTCTGAACTCATATGACGCTGTGACGCCTTTGGCTTGCGTCTTCGCGTGGAAGGAGGTGTAAACCATTCTTGATCCGAAAAGTGCGAATGATCAGACGAGCTGAGCGACCTATGAGGAGCGGAAAAGAGCTGTGCCCGTGACGGGGCTGGTACACTTGGCATCTGATGTACTTCGGGCCATCTCCGACTTTCTTGTGTTGGAGGATCAGGTTTGGGTAGAGACTTTGCGGCGCCGACATGAAAGGGATTGTGCGGCGAAGGTTCCGGAGGCGACTGAAATGTCTCTGTAGAGATGCGCGGTCGTACAGATGACATTTTCACGTGTTTGTTGCGCACTCTCTCAACGCGGAGAGGCGAGCCTCTCAACACATCCGAGGCTCTGCGACTAGGAACTCTCGACTTGAACTTCCTAGGCTCATCGGAAAGCAGATCCGGCGGTGGCCCAACAGGTACCGGTTTTCTTGTTAAAGCTGACTTGCAGGGTGATCTAGTCTTCTTGACAGTACCGGTCTCCTCGTCAGAAGGAGTCGATCCCTCCGCATCCACAATATCGACGACGGAACGAGGCTTGGGGGACGGCGATAATCCGCGAGTCGGAAGAATCGAAGGCGCGGTCATGTTGCCGACCCACTCAACAGCTGTGATAGACACTCCCACAGTGATCTCATGTATAAGTAGGCCCAGGGCGTTGAAAACAAGAACTTTTCCAGCCTGTGTACCAATAGCAATCAATGTCTCAAAGCCCTCGTAGACATCTCCGGCATCTTCTGCCGCGTCGCCTCCTAGTAGCACCATCCCGTCTACTCTTCCCTTTGAGTGTACAGAGCCTTTCGTGGATACCGACAAGCAAGTAGCGGGATAAGAGACATGCTATGTCCGGAGTACTTCTCCTCCCCTTTCAAAGTCAACAAGTCGACATTTCCCATCATACCTAATGCTAACAACACGCGATTTGTAGCCCGGTATGAACTCCGCTGCGAGTACACCACCCATGGCCGGCTTATGGAGCTTCTTGATGACACCTACTCGGACAGGCTGTAACTGGTAGAACTGGAATTGATTTATGTGCGAATCTTCGGGCCGCTTTCGGAGTGAAGGCAGGAAAAGACGATACATCGCTAGTAATCCGTCCTGGAATCCGATCACAAAGTTCGTATATGATGGCTGCGCGGGACTATCCAATTGTTGGAACGCAGCACAGGTCGCAGAGTAGCGGGCATCTGTTGGACGAAAGTCCACAGGCGCGCTGTGTCCCCGTCTTTGGTCTTGAAGGTATATAGTCATCGGGTTTGGTGATGCTGAAAGAAGTACGGTACCGTTACTGGATATCGCGATCACATTCGGTGGAGATGGATGCGATGGTAAGGAAGGCAGAAGCTTGTCATCTGGTATGGAGTATGCTTGAACTGAGTTGTTCAACGTTGTCGTGAAATACAAGGTGCGCGAGTCGGGTGAGAAGAGAAGAAGACGTGGCTCGCCCTGTGCTATCGTCAGTTTGTAGACCGTATCGTCGTTAGGGAAGATGCCGTACATCACCACTCTTCAATTTGTATTTCCTGTCCTTGGTTCGCGAAGCATCGTGTAGTATCACAACCTGACCATCTGCTATAGCGAACAGGCTGCTGTTATCTTTCGAGGCACGAGCGTTGACTATGCCGTTAGCGGTCTTGCACTCGAACAGCGTCTCGCGAGCAAGCTGTGTCCTCAAATGAATCTTGTTCGGTGTTGTAACAAACAAGCTCTGTTCAAACGGTAAGCGCTGGGATTTTGCCATTGCTGCAAGTAGAATAGTGATAAGTTTAGGGAGGTCGTTGCGATGAGGTGGCAAAAGAACGATGTCTGGATTGTGCGGTATCATGATCGAATGCGCTGCGGCAGGTGCTACAAGTCAACACGTGGAGTTCCAGGGTAAGCACAGCGGGAATCAACCTTCATACGAGCACTGTGCTACCATAGGTGCCATGAAAACATGCCTGATTATAACAGACATTTTCTGAACAAACAAATGGATTCTGTAAATCGAGCAGTCCTGGTCGAATTGCTAGTCCAATCTACTTCAGCTTAGCGTACTGCTTGCCCCATTTCTCTGCAATTTCCTCCTCCGAGAACTTTCTTGTCTTGCGCTTTAGCATCTCGACTTTCTCGTCGAGCGTAAGCTGCATCTGATCGCCCATAGGTACAAGACATTTAGCAATGTGCTCATAGTTCTTTCTTAGCAGATTGACCGTAAGGAAGAAGTAATCGATGTTATAGAAAACGATTGCGTGCTCGTCAGAGTACTGCTTCTTCTGTGAGAGGAACGCAACTGGATGCTCCCGCCAGTGGCGGAGCGGATTGAGGTGATGAGATGTGTGATAGCCATCGTTGTAACAGTGGCGGTTGCTCTGTTATAGTGTAAGTGGTGCGTTCGAACCTAATCAAGCAAGAATGATTGCAGACTTACGGGTACGTCGATGAGTGTGATGCTTGACCTGAAGTCAGAGTCCGGCTCGACCTCGTCAACGAAAGCGTGCTGGCCCCAGTTGCCAGTCATCAAAGCCAGGCGCATGAATGCCAGAGGAATCAAGAATACAAACGTCGTTGCACGAGCGTTGACGAAGTTGTACATCATGTACAGGAAGACGTAGTTGCCAACTTCGCAAGCACCCGCTTGGAGCGCGAGATTAGGCTTGCGATTGCGCAAGAAGTACATGGGCAAATCGAGCCAGATCAGAAAGTAGAACCGGCCAACATATTGCGCAAAGTCCCAAACACTGTCCCGCTGGTATCGAATAGTGGAAGACAGGTCATTAGGTCCGTTGCCTTCAACGTGATGGTGCTTGACGTGATGATAGTAGTATGAGTTCCAGGTGTGGCCCATCATTGGATCGAGAATGTATGGGAATAGCCGGTCGATGAAGCCATACTTCTTGCTAAGAACACCACGCATATGAATGTGCTGATGCTTCAGGAGCGTGAATGGTCCCATGTAGTAGCCTTGCATGACGCAATGAAGCACAGCGTGCCACCAGTGGAAGTTGACGTACAGATAGATCGCTGATGGGACGCTGGTGCAGAAGTAAAGCAGCAAATGCGTAACCATAATGACATCGGTCTCGACTCGCACAATCTGCTTTGCCCATCGAATGTAGGGATCGATGATCCATTGACGAAGAAGAGGGTTCTTGATGTCCGAATCATCGACAGTGCTGCACACAGTGGTCTCGAAACTGTCAGACTTGGGGTCATTCAGCTTCTTGAGGTAAGCGATTGCTTGCTGCTCCTGGTCTTGGAGATCTATGAGATATTAGTTATATGAAACAGCCATGGTGGTTCAAAGAGAGATTCACTGACCCTCTGGTGATGGCGTCACAATCTCGGAATGTTTGACACCCGAGTCATCTGAATCTTCTGCTGCATCTAGCGTTGATTTTGCAGGCCTGGTCTCATATAACTCGTACTCCTTCTGTAGGATTTCCAGAACAATTCGGTCCGGACCAGTTAGCTCTTTATCGAGAGGGAAAGCCAGCTTGCCCATCTTGCCGATGACCTGGTAGGATCGTTGTTGGGTCGTGCCGTGATGGCGTGATGACTGCGATAGCAAAAACAAGTGCCCGCCGAAGAGATTGGCAACAAGCGCCTTGTGCTGCCGAACAAGTAAAGAACGAATCAACCAATGTGAAGATTATGATGGATGTCAATGGCAGAAGCGCATGATGGAGTTGTAGCGAGCTAGGTATGAGGCTGTCGCTGTGAAGCCAAGTAACTGGAAGCGGTGACAAAACCGTTTAGCGCGCCCCTGGTGACCCACACAAGTGGCGAACGAAGACCGAACGCGTATGTATCATTTCACGTAGCCAGTGGACTAGAACACTGGACACGACGGATCGGCCTTTGCTTCATGCAGCAGCGAAGGCAGGTAGGGGCAGTCTGATAGATAATTGACATGGCCGCGAATCACATGCAAAAGAGCAGTCGCGACCTTTGTGTGGCAAATTCAGGGTCCTCAACTACCCCGCATTCGCCCAAGCGCCCTCGCAGAACATAGTGGGGCGGACATTGAGGCTCACAGTCTTCGTGCAAAGTAAACAAACGTCAAGTTCATACTGATCAATGCATTTCGCCATGAAGCGCTAGATATAGCGTCTTCGATAGTTTATAGGAAACTGCGGGCGAAGAAGACGCTTGACATTACCACCTAGTGTTCCTTTTCCGCCCAGAACTGCAAGAACCGACTCACAGTCCTCTCCTCCCAATAATGGGCCTCCCTAATATAATCCGGCTCAGCGCTAACGTTCTTGATACCATAACTGTCCCAGTGATGTCCGGCTCCCGCAATCAGGTAGCTCGGGTACTTGTCGCTACTGATCCTGGGTTGAGGAGCCAGATTCGAATGGTAGCATAGATCAAGCCAGACATCGGTATTGCCATCAATCTTAGCGAGATTCTCAGCTTGGACATCCCAGCCTCCGTACTTGTTGTAGTAGTGCAACTGGGGAGTTGCAGGGATGCTATTATGCTCGCCAGGTGGGAAGGCCCAGGTGCACCACTGCTGCGTGTAGTCAATTTGGAGGACGCGGGAGATGAGAGATGGGCCGTTCGTAGGCGCAACTTGGTAAGCACCAGACTCTGAACAGGTCGAGTAAAGGTATGAGCGTGCTGCACCGTTTGAGGGGTCGGCGTAGTATGTCTGATTTTGCGTGCCGAAGCAGCCCTCGTCCGTGCTATCGATTCGTCCACTTTCGCAGTTCGGGATAAGCGTCTTCTTCACATAATCGGCATAACCACCTAATCCAGTCCAAGAATCACCCTGGGAGTACTTGGCAAGCGCCATATCGACGCTGCTGATGTTTGCCGGCGGGTTGATGTTCGTTACGTTAGAGCAGAAGTTGAAGAAGTCTTCAGAACCATATTTGGGAGACCAATCTAGAGCGTGATTAGCACACATCTCACAAAGATCCTGAAAAGCACCATTACTTACTGAGTTCTTGCCATGTGTTGGTGGGATAATTCATCGGACCACCGATCGGGAATGCAATCGTCATGGCAAAGTCTCTCAGATCTTGCAGCGCGCCGAGACCAAAGATCTCCTTCAATTGCTGGATGCCTTCTTTGTTTCCACTCCAGATAAGTTCATCCATCTTGTCGACAATGTCAATAATCCTGGATACGCAGTCTGCAGGACCGAACTTTATGATGGGATCGTACCACTGAGGGTATTCGAGTAAAGCCTGGGTAGTGGCACTGCTACCAATGCCTCCAGCAAAGATGTCGTTGTAAGTCTTCATGGTGAACGCAGTGTGAGCACCAGCAAGAGAACCGCCATACATAATCCAAGGTGTGTCAACACTGTTCAGACTAGCGTTAACACCTGGGAAGGTAGCATGCTGTCTAAAGTAGGCATTGTCGGCAATCGCTATTCAAAGTCAGCTCATTTGCATCATGGCCTGAATACTTGCATCACTAACTCTGCTCAGTAGTCAAGAATCTCAGTTCATCTGTCGTACTAGAATTGTACGGGTAGCTTTCACCATAGTAACGATTCTCAAGAATGACACCAAGACCGTTGAACTTTTCCATGAGAATCTGGATGACTAGAAACCCGGTCAGTGATTTGTGCGAACGTATCGATTGGGTTTTGCTGTAACCGCTTACTTCCAGTCTGCAAGTTGGAGAAACGCGACTCTCCGCTCGTCTCTCCACCGATGTAGAGAAACACTGGTCCCCCGGACTTGTAGTAAGAAGAGTCGAAAACTGAATCAAATGTTTAGTGTATGCTGAGTATGCACGCAGTAGATTTGTACTTACAGTACCGCTGCTTGAAGGTGGCATTGGTGTGTGGAACATAGCGATCGCTATCCTGGAAATGATCAATCTGGCGCAAAGGTCAGCTAGAGCACAATAACGAGAAAAAGCGCATCAACGAACCGGTTGATCAATCGTATGTGCCGCATAAGCTGGCGCATCAGCAGCCTGTCTCTTGCCCTGCCATGAAGCCGAGCGCGGAGCCGGAGTTGCAGACCCCAAAGCCACAAAACTGTAAACCAAGGTCAGGATCTTCATGTTGATGGTTGCTTCTCAGCGGACGTACCGGGATACTTCGGGAATACCGTACCACTCTTATACAGATCTCAAGCTCGGCTTCCCGGATAGCAGGACGCGAAGCTATACCATCGCGTCATGTTCGTTTGTACCTCAAAGCGGGGCAAGGCGTGCAGCGGGCGATACCTATACAGGCAGGTAGATGCAAGGCTTGTGCAGGCTTGGAGAAGCTTGTCGCTGCTTGGTATCTGCCTTCTGCTTTAGAGCTCTTTGCTTACTGTCTTATCGTGCGGTGAGGCTTTTTGAAGGATGGGTAGTGTTGTGTTAGTTGTGTTCGTGCAAGTGAGGTACGCGCGGACCCTAAATACATCGCATTATGGAAGGCGTCAACGCGTCTGCTCACACGATGTAGCAGATACCTGGGAAGTATGGATGATTGGTATTTCTGGAAGTAAGCAGTGCATGCAAGTTAAAATGTGCATATGCTTAGGCAATAGAGCTACCTAGGTATGGTAAGCTCAATGACCGATCCCTGCCATACGAACTCGTATACCAAACTCCAGTAGCCTTATCTGACCACAGATACAGAAATGATGACGCAACACTGCATCTCCGTCTCCAAAATCCTCACCACCTACTCCATCTCCTTACAAGTAGGTCTAACCAACATACCAGCTCTCTCGTAAGTTCGATCCGTGGCTTCCATTTGTTTAATACTCTCCTCGCCATCAACCCACGCACCACTCCCATCTCTCCGCTTAACCTTATTCACAAACTCCTCAAGCATGTACCGATACGTAACCCACCAGTCCTCACCCTTTTTCTCACCACCCATGCCCTCCGGCCACTTGTACGCCTTCTTGTACTCCGTCTTCTTTTCTTCCTTGACAATCTTGCCAGAAGAGGGATCGCGCAAAGTAGTCGTAGTGGTGATATCGATGCGATGGTAAGAGTGCGGGCCCATGAAGCCCCAGAACATAAGTGACTTTTGGCTAGACTTGTGTAGACCGTTGTCAGTGGTTTCAAGGTTCTCGGAGCGCAAAGTTACAGAGAGCGAGGCAAGCAGGTCACTGAAATTTGGCCAGTTTGATGTGAGCCACGGAAACCAGTACCCGCCTCGAGCACCTAGATCGGACAGAACGTGACCACTACCGCCGTTGGGGAATGTGTAAGTAGCTTCCATGGCTCGATCGCAGAGCTGATGTTGTGTTGGGTGAAAAAAGCTAGGTGTTGCAGAAGTGACATCTGTAGGCTCAGCCCCGAAGACACCTCGTAGTGCGGATAGGGTGTAATGCCCTATGTCCATTGCAGCGCCACCAGCAAGATCGTAGTCATATCTGATATCCGTGTCGGGGAAAGCTCCTTTCGGTGCTCCCGCACGAACACTTGCTTTCTCTACATTTGCCTTTTCGAATTGCGCTAGAAAGACGTACCAGGCGGGGTGGAAGCGATAGTGACTTGCTTCAACAAGTACAGGAGCATTTGGAGCCTTGAGAACCTGGTGATGGAAGAGAGAGCGTGCCTCTTGCGCATTGGAGACGGAGGGTTTCTCCAGTAGAACGTGTTTTCCTGCCTTGAGGGCGGCGAGCGTCCATTTATAATGCAATCCGTTTGGCAAAGGGTTATATATACAGTCGATTGACGGATCGTTGATCAGCGCTGCGATGGATCAGCATGATATCACAGCAGTATGAAGTGGCCGTAATTGCTGCTTATGGGCTGCTGCATTGTCATCACCTGGCTCGCTTACCTTCATAGCTATCATGAACAATCGGAACATCCCACCTCTTCGCATAGGCTTCTGCTTTCGTCCTGTCTCTTGCTGCAACAGCAGCGACTATGACATCTGCATGCGAGCGCGCTGGAATGATCAAAGCCATCGGACTGTTCAACGATTCTATTTAGCTCCAAGACCCTATCTCAACTTCCTCATGTTGATAAAGAGAACAGGGCGTGGACATACGCAATTTTGGCAGCTCCTAAAATACCGAAACGTAATGCATCCGAATTCTTCGGTACTGGCTTGCGTCCAGCGGCCCATTCGGTAAACTCAGCGCTGGAGTTCAACCAGTCGACAAATCCCATCTTCGATCGGTTGCGTGATGTAAAAAGTGATGATTTGGCGGTACGATGCTGAAGAAGAGGAAATACATCTCCGTCTACAGAAACACAGGATGTTCCATTGCTTACTATCAACTCGTAACGGGGCGTTATCTAGGTACCTTAAACTTGCGCCTCGCATGCAGTGCGCTTGGGGTGCGGGGCCAAGTCAATGATTGGCGCCCGCTCGTACGCCCGAAACAGTAAGATACCTTCAACTCCTAAGTAGCATCTGTGGCTGATTGATTCCATGGTCAACATGGGAAAAATGCTGAGGGGAGGCAAGAGGTCTACATTTTCAATAGTTCATATTGATATAATACGAGCAAGTATGCCGACAATCGATGACCACCATAAGCACTTGGTGTGTAGTGAAGTTAATATACTACAGTTCAGCCGGACACAGCATCTTGCGTCTGGAGCGTGAGGTGTTAGTTGCTTACGTTGTCTAAGCCGCTTCGATAGCGTATAGTTCAACTAGTTGAACTTACAATGTGGCAGTCATGCCCAAGAGACTGCATGTTCTGATGCATGAAAGATAGGCTGAATCTAATCTCGCACGCCTCAACCTCGCTGACTCGGCTAATGAGTATAAGCACCGCCTTCACATCTACCGAATGCCCGAGGCACCGTCTGAAGCGGAAGATTTCCAATTCTGTAGATCATGTAAGTCAGCAATGTCCGAGGCCAGCGGTAACAGCGGCGATAAGAAGTGTGGCAAATATTGAATCATGGCATCATGGCACGAATAATGGCTAGGGTTTCAGATGTCAGGCGTGGTGGCGAGAGAATCCACTTTGCCATATCGGACGACGTGCATGAACGGCATGTTCAGGGCGCTGCTGTTTGATCGACAGGGTAGCACACACGACTGTGTGGGAAAGAGTGGGTGTGGAATTGTATTGTCCACGAATGCCTGAATGCCTACGAAACAGATTGCGCAAGCGAAGTGTAGGGAGGACACCCATCCTTGTTGTCGCACTATATCTTGCAGGCATTGCGTATCACACACCGCAGTAGGCGGGTAAGAGAAATTTCGTCCAAGACTTGCTTCAATGATCTTCATGAAAACAACGGAAATTTGTCGGTGAGGGTTACGGTGACGGAGGTATTACAATGACGACCGGTGTCATTCGGCGAGGTAAAAGAGAAGAAAAATAATTGCGCCGAGCTTGATCAACCGGGCACAACGTTTGCCGTGCTGGGGTCTTCCTTTGAAGTTACTGCAACGCGGTTCGCTTACAGCCGCAATGCTTGGCTGGTGGTGACTATGCGTAATGATCACCAGTAGGAGTGTGATAGGCGAACATCGCAATTCCCACACAACAAGTCACGAGATTGAAAATCCTCCTTACAGATGTTGCGTCGAAGACTCCACATGACCTACTGCGTACACAGCGGTGAGAAATGTAAGGGTTTTCAAGCGGCAACCGGCAGTTACAGAATCAACGGCTTTTCCCTTTTGCGCGACAAAATCCGAGGACCTGGTTATAGTGACAAGGGACAACGGTCAAATCGCAACGGCGTCCGTGTCGTAACGGTGACAGCTTGGGTACACCGCTGAAGGTGACTCACATCGAGTGACCTAGTCGCCGAAGAGGTTCCCAAAAAAAGGCCGTCAGCGTGGATGGATTGACAGCGGGCTTTTCCAGCGCTGGGATGTGATAGGCCCCAGCAAAGTAAGGCTGCATGCTCTGCCCGCGGACCCACGATCTGCGAAAAAGGAACGTGGTTTGTGGAATTGCGGACGTGAGTCAGAATGATCTGCCAGGGATTGAGCAGCATGCATGCACTCGGACGCACACAGAAGAGTTGCGTGGGCATGTGATTGATGCGCGCTGGCTTGCGTAAAGTTGATGTATCGAAGGACGACTGCAGGTTTCCACACGTTGTACGCACGGTAACGCGCAGCCTGCGTCAGCCGATGGCGTACATGGAATGCCTCGCGTCTTGCAGGATGAATTAACGTCTGACAGACGTGGCTAACTGTGTACTTCGCCCTACCTAGCACGATCGGTGCTGAGAGAGTTTTGATAGCTAAGCGATAGGTCTGTGTGCTCGTGGAGGACCGATTGCATGGTTGTTCAAGTCCGTATTCATCAGACCGGAATGCAGCCTTGTCGTCTGGGGCCAATAACTCAAGCTTCAACAGCAGAGGACGAGGGACAAAGGCGCAGTTCGAAAGTCTAATTGCTTACTGAGCGCCATCAAGGCGCAGGACTCTGGTCGTCAGCTCGGACAGGCGCAAACTATACGTTGCAAGCCGAGCCGTGTCTGTTCGCCTACTGCGAACATTCGGCATGCTCATCCGAGTATCAGAGATCGAGCACGTTCAGGGTGCTGCCACTTTTGGTGAGACTGCCCCCAACGTGGTGTGGGCGGACCCGCTCAGGCGAGTGGAGATTGGCGTCAGATTGCGGCGTAGGCACGACAATGGTACTTAGTGCGCAACCGCGGGATGCGCTGCTTGATGTTGACGATGATGATGTTTGAAGGAGGGGTACTGTCCTGCGGGAGATAGTGTATTGCAACCTGGCAGACCGCTAACGGCTGTGGAGTTGCGGGCACGTCTTGCTGAGCGGTGAAGTCGTGCAACATGCAAAGCTGTAGTAGTGAAGGACGGTGTTAATCTAGCGTCTTAGTGGTCGCACGTCTGCGTACGACTAGCAATGCAGCTGGTGGTTGGCTTTGCGTATAGAGGAGTCATCTGCCTCAGCTGAAAGCAGGGCATGGATTCCTAAGAGCATGCACTTGTGCCTGAACGGCTACATGGCCGTGGTTGGAGCTAGGTAAGCGCAACCGAGCCAAACCACCAAGAACGGCCCTGCCAATATTCGCATTCGTGGTGTGAGGCCGTATCCGTCTTGCTGATTAGCGTTCCAAGTTGAAGCTGCGGCAAGTATCGACGTTCCTGCACATGCCGGGGTGGTGCCGTGATTTCCAACGTGAACCGGTCACACGGAAGGTTTCGGTAGCTGCGGGACACTTGAATATGCAACACGGTTAAACGAGTCGACTTATTGGCCCTCGACTCAACTTGTCAAGTCTACGTCACACAGCCCACGTGTGTGCGGCCAAGCGCTTGCAATGTACAGGTGCCTGATTGTGGAGGAGGCATACCTGATCGCTCGAACATGCTGCAGCGCTTGTGAAGCAACGGTGGATCCTATCACAGCCATGTGCCTTAGCGGTTAGCTGAGGTGGTGTGCAAGGGAACTATCGCGCGCGCGCTGGCAACCTGGCGGCGTCTCTAGGCAAACGTCTCTATCGGAAGATGCCCTGGAAGATGCCTTGGAGGCTTGCCCTCGACTGAGCATGGCTTTTAGCCCCCAAATGGAAAGGGAAAGCCGAAGGATTAGTGAACAGGGGACTTTGAATTCAACTGCATGCGAGTTTCACTGTGGACGAGAATAGAACAAGTATAAGCGTAATTGATCTTAGATCAAACAATTAATGCTACGAGACGATATTGGGTATTCCTCCTGGCTATGATGCCGCCTAACCAGTAATAGAACTCCAAGAACTAATGATGCTATGATGCCACACAACCAATCCCAAGCGCCAACTAATGCAAGTCTAAAGCAAGTAATACGCTCAATATTAGAAGGACTGTGATGTGTATATGCCAAAGTAAAGTAGGCGTCTATAGAGAAGGATCGTTCCGGACACCCGAACCAGCGTGTGTGGGATATGCAATCGTAGCCGGAAGTGAGACGAGCGGATCCTGGTACATGCAGCAATGCCACATGATAGCAGGGCGTAATAACGTGGAGGCTTGCGATGCAAGGTAGACTGGCGTCGAGTCGCTTTCCGAAGACAAGCTTAGTCTGCTTTTAACCGGAAATCGCGGCGGATGTCAGGTGAGTGACAAGGAGTTGTTCTGAGTCTGAGGCACAGAGTGCGCCAAAGATCAGGTAGTACTGGATGCTGCAGATGCACTGCATGATGGCGGCATACCAGGCGGCAAGGTGCAGATCGATGTCGGATGATAGAGTAGTAAGGTGGGTCGCGTTGAGGATGCTCGGTTAAGGATGCGGAGTTGATATCGATGTTGAAATGCGCCAAAGCCAAGTGTAGGTCGAACAAGACAAAAACGAGGTAGAGAGTTCATGTCCTCTATTTCGATGGGACAGGAGGAAGAGGGCGGGTTGGTGGTGGGCCAGGGCAAGGTGGGAGGTTCTGCGATGCCATGTTGGACTCGTCGTAGATAGTGGCGGCCATTGTGTTGGTTTGTGAGGATGAGCTGTTAGGCTGGTGTTGAGCGGAAGTGTTGAGTTGGTTGTTGGAGTCTTCGTTGGATGACGATGATGTTGTAGTGGTAGTGGTAGTAGGCTGTAGAGATATACTCTTTGTGTTGTAGTCTTCGGCTCTGGATGATGAAACGAACACTCCGATGGTGGGGGGTCAACGTATTTATGTTTGTGCTCAGATTGCAGACCCCCAAAATGTCGGTCAGCTACGTACTTTGACGATGTGTGTAATAATGCTAGGCAGGGCATGGCACGGCCCAAGCGGTGAAAGAGGCGTTGGGCTGATGAGCAGGAAAGGGGTGGCTCCTGGCTTGTGCATAAGCTAAAGCACGCCGAAACATCGCTGATCCTGGTCACTTAATGAGCAGGGGGGAGAAGAAACACGAACTTGCGCGTTACCGCCTTGTCGTTTCATCGGCCTCGTGACAGCGTGAAGATCGTGTTGATCCAATCCTGTCGCAGTATTGTCGCCGTCGCGGCATGTCGTTCATACAACACATCATCCTCCAGGCAAGGCAGCAGGCCCAGCGAGGCATGATTGACCCACGGGAAGTGTCTGCGCTCATCTGACATCACTTATTCCCTGACCACTACCGTGCTCTTACTAGCAGACATGCCTAGTGCGAACGGTCGTGAGGAATGAAACGTAGCCCTCCTTTTCATCTTGACGGTGCGCAGGGCTGGCATGCATCAGTCGCCGCCTTGGGGCCGCTTGTAAGAGGGTTTGCTTGCGAGCGCATCAGGAACAGGCATCGCTCGGTTCCTGTTGCCGTGCGTGTCAAGAGCAAATTCTGACACATTGACAGTAAATTTCCGTCACACAATTTGCGACGTCGCCTATTTGCCAACGTCGGACACACCCACCGACCTCCAGCGCAGGAAGATCTAGCGCCTATGCCGACCTTCTCCCGTGCTTCTTTGACGCTTCTACCCAATTTCGAAGCCCCCTAGAATTTTCCGCTCCACAATGTCCACAGCTGCTGGCGCCCGTGCTGGCGGTGTGAGGTCAAGGCATGACTTTGCTCTTGCTATCCTGAATCAGTTGGCCGGGGTATACACGTTTGTTCGTGGGCAGCTAGGCTGAGAATGCAAAGCACCGCACAAAGGCATGTCATGATTATTTTTGTCTTTTTGGTTTGCCGTCTTCGCGCAACTCGTATTAATCCTAGCTCGCGTTTGTGTCCGAGGTAGGAGTAGTTACCGACGCCCAGTGTGCCCTGTTTCTCAAAGTGTTCCGGCGACCGCAACTGGCTGGTAGTGGCTGCTCGATAAAGGTTATCACAGAAGCTCGGCTGGTCCGGAAGGAGAGAGTTGAACGGGCGCCATGCAGCCACTTGGCGCAGCTGTCAACCAGTCTTAAGGGACGGAGGGAACACCGCTGCTCGCTTGTTGCAGCTGGCCAAACTCCACGTGGACTGGTCAGGGTTTACGTCTGACTTCAGATAGGCGTTTGTTTGATTGACATTCGCAATATGCCACCTTTTACCCCTGCGACCTGCGAGATGAAAATCACGATTATCGAAGCGTTTACAGTACCCTGAAAGCCTGTGCGCAACAAGCAAAAAAGATTTCCCTTACCCACCAGGACTGGGGAGAAGATTCTGGCGATGCGCTCATCGTTGATAGTAAGCGATCAGATTTACAGGGGCTGCTGGTGCGTCAAAACCTAATGCAGAAAGCATCGTCCTCACCATCGCCACCCCCTTCGGTAGTTCATTAGTTCAGTCTCAACGCTTCTCAAAAGCTGTCGTTTCAGCACAGTGGGGAAGGATTGCGCATATGTTACAGTCCAATGCGAAAGACAAGGCGACATGGTGTCAAGCTACAGAGCCAAAGATCTGGTCCCAGGAAAAGACGTTTTCGGCTGACAAGCGTTCCAACCAACTGGCCAGCGCGGAGAGACGAGAAGAGACCGAGCGTTAGTCTGTCTGCCGTTGATTGACAGGTCATCAGTTTGAAGCCATGCCCCTAGAAGGGTCCCTTGAAGCTGCAGGCACGGCTGTCTACCAAGTAAAATTAACGGCGGTTTTTGACCGACATGCTTTTCATCTCATGTTGCTTGAATCAATAAGCCTCTCGCAATTCTCATGCAAGCCTGCTCACAACAACGATCACGATGTTCGCGTTGGCGCAAAAAAGTACGTAGTATTGGCATTGAACTCTATCCACCGGCTCCGTATTCGTAGTGGTGGCTAGTCGATCACAACGTCATTGTGAATAAAAGTCTTGGTTTTCCCGTGTTTTGGCAGCCATGGTCCGAGAACGATGGATTAAGCTGATCGTCATCAGCAGATCAATAGCTTGGTGCGGAGAACGATGTTCAGGCACGTTGCTGCAGGTACGCGCAACATTCTCGGCGCCGCTACCGCACCTTATGTGGCTTACGCGCCTTCAATCTCAGGCAAGAGCGAGCATGCGAGCACGCTGCGCCACCCATTTTGGGGCCGGCGAGTCCGATGCGCTACTGGTGAAGCACTCAGAGACTCAGAGGAGACAAAGACGAGAATCCAGATGGGTATTCGCCGGGAAAGCACCGAGTCTCAATGCGCCAAGGCAACGGTTCCCCAGTGCTGTTTTCGATCAACGAGCTGTCCGACGCAGAACTCAGCGTTGCGATCGAATAAGAAAAGAATAGACCCCGGTCATAGGTGCAGTATGTAATACGTCTAGTCGTTCCGAACAGCCGACTCTCCAACAGTGAACACATCAACCCTCCCTATATGCTCAGTTTCAGGTTCATTGTCCTCATCAAGCCCCGGATGCGATATGGACCATGTTTGCAGCGGAAATAAGAAAGACGCGCACGCACAAAATGGTGCGCGAATATCGTGGCGTATGTTGTACTCCTCTGGGAAAATGGTTCACTAAGCCACCTAATGCGCAGGGACTTCCTGAAGAACCGCGCATTTATCCGGTGTGATGGTTCAGCACAGTGCGTCCACGTGGATAAGCCTGTCAAGAACCCATCGTGTTCAGGGTCGGCGAATAGTGGTCGGCGTTGTTATTTTCGTCCCTGTCAGCTCGCACTCGTGTCAGTCGGCAACAAGATCCGACTGTCTTAACTCGATGGCGGTCATATAGTACAGTGATGCTAATTCTATTCACATAGTGTCCTCATCGTCGTCGAGCTGCTCTGCCACAGCTTGTGTCGAAACCCAATTCTCTAGCATAGCCTGGCTTGAATTTGCACCACTTGGTCCTGCCACGTTTCGTGCGCCACGGCGCTTAATGACAAGACACAGTATACGGCCGTAGATACTGAAGCCATCATATGATGTGTTGAGACCAAGCTTCTTCTTATCATCCGCATGTGTCTCCTCGTCACTATCCTGGTCTTCGTCCTGTGTACGAGCCTTGGTCCGACGTCGATTGGTGGGCTCAGGGACAAACAAATCCGAACCTTCGCTATCGCTGCGATTGCTGAGTGCAGCATCCTCATCCTCGTTCCTTCGGCGTCTTTGACGTGCTGAACGCTTAGGCTGTTTCCCAGGTTGGTCAGCTGCCGGGATGTCAGCAAGATTGATGGGCTCGTCATCGTCTTCTTCTCTGATAACGATCGGATCTGCGCCATCTTCGTTGATAACGACAGGCTGATCGCTAGTTCCACTTGTCAGCCAGTTGGTGAGTTTCCCGGAATTGCTTTGGATGCGGGCCTTGTCTTTGAAGATCTTTTGCTTGGTCAGAACGGAGTGCCGGGAGGATAGGTCCGTCAAAAAGATGGAAACCTCGAAATCATCTGACGTGAGGTTAGCCGTCTGAGTAAGACTGCAGCATCAATGCGGGGATGCCTGTACTGTGGATACGATATCAAACTTCCATGCAGCTTACCTTCGACGACGACGTCCTTTACTCCCTTCTTTTTAGATTTGGCACTACCTCGGCCTCTACCCCGCTCGTTTTCCTCTCGGAGCTTGGGCAGTACAAGCGGTCGTATAGCCTCAATGACGCGTGGTAGTGCTGGGTCGTCGCGCTTCAACAGCCATGCCTCAGCATCAGCGGGTCGGTCAAGATAGATGCGAACCTCGAGAACAGAATGCTTTGTAATCCGTAGGTATCGTCGAAGTGGTGCCATATCAAAGGACTAGAGAGTGTAGCGTTGATTCCCGATGTTGACGATGTGAGTAAGTGATTGCAACTGCCAGCATAGACACGGGCGATGATGATGCGTGTTCACGTGCGAGCGTTCCGACGCTAGTTCCGATCGGCATGCGCAGAAGTTGATCGGAAAGTGGGCGTCAGCGCATCACAATCACACACGACGCACCACAACACAGCACTAGATATGGTGCTTGAGCTTCATGTATGGGGCCCAGCCTTTGGGCTTTCTTCAATAGAGCCCGAATGCATAGCCACAATCGCCTATTGTCAGCGTGTCATCCCCAGAGGAGAATGGTCACTGGTGGCCGAGCACAACCCCACGATTGGCACCACAGGTACGTGATCCATGACTTATCGTGTCCAGAGCAGGCCCTTACACACTCGCAGAGAGCTTACCGATACTCTTTGATGACGACGTCGCAACAGCCTCCGGCTTCGAGGACATTGTCGCATACCTTCGCAACCACCCTTCAGTCACCAATGACCTTGATGTCAACTTATCAAGTCGACAGCAGACCGATAGGACTGCGTAGGTACCGATCCATGAGTTGATATATGTATTCTTACACGTTTACAGTTTCATCACATTTCTACAATCTACAGCAACCCCTCTGATCGACCTGTCCCTCTACGTCTCTGCCGAAAATTACAACACTATAACCTCGTCTGCGTATACTGCCATCCTCCCATGGTATGCCAACTACACCGTCCCTCCGAAACGACGGGATCTCGCTAGAGCTAGGACGGCGCACATGGGATTGAGTAGTCTAGATGTGGATACCACAGCCGAAGAGGGGTTTGCGCCAGGTCGAGGTACCGCTTCGTCCGAATATGAGGCTGCCAAGCGGGCAGCCGGCATACCTACCGAAAGCCAACCAAATGCCATGAGCATAGGGCGTGGAAAGGGTCTTGGCGGCCTCTTAGGTGGTCAGGTGTACGCCGCACGATTCAGACTTGATGCTCTATCAGGCGAACTCTTGGACCCGTTGTCAGATCTACTCGGAAAACACGACTACCTCTTCCGTGGGGACAAGCCCTCTAGTCTGGATTGCCTTGCCTTTGGATACTTGTCCTTGCTGTACTACCCGCCAGTGCCCCAGGCATGGCTCAGAGAAACTCTCCAGACCAAATACCCACGCATTGTAGCATACATAGGTAGGCTGCATGAGAACCTATTCCGCAGTGAACAGGTGAGCTCTGCAGATATCTGGTCTGTCTCCGCCGGTGTGAAGAAGACGCCAAGAAGTACATCTTTACCGTGGACGGCAAGATCAGGAACTCTCGCTTCAAGTACGCTAGCCGGCGCAAAAGAGATCTTGGGGAACATTCCTGGATTGTCCATGTTCTCACAGCGAAAAAATGTCATTGTCTCGGAGCCGCTGGCATCATCGAAGCGCATTCGATCGGAGCTGCCCTCTGCGCTGTTTATCAACACCCTCTTGGGTGTGACAACCGTGTTCGCAATAAGCTTAGCATCCCTAGCTGTGCACCACCGTCGGTCACCTCGGGAGGGCGAACTCATCTTTTGGGCTCTGCGTCCTAGCAGTGGCCTAGGCGAAGCTGGAAGTATACTCAGCGTCTTCGCCAATCAGCTTCACGATGGAGCATTGTATTCCCAGATTTGAGTACGATGAGTTGACGATATACCCCAATGTTTTATGCACGCTTTATACATGGTCAGTTTTGGACCTTGGGAAAACCAAGATTCTGCCACTGGTCAATGCTTGCTATGGCATGACCTAGTTTAGAACCAAGATAGTCACTTTCCCACCAGCGTTGTTCAAACAGGTCGCGGAACGCCCGGCTTTCGAATCACACACCCCTCTCGAGTTGCCTCATCGCTTCTATGGATTTGCCACATCGCACAAACTTGAGATGATCGTAAAATGAGATGGCAGGACCCTTAGTAGATACACAACGTGGATGCCAATTGACTTGGATGACTGCTTGTAAGGGTCTAGGGAAAATGCATTCTTGGTAGCGTGGTTGTCATGGCGCCCATTGGGTCCCGGAGCCAGGCACACATCAACGTCACATCAGCCGGAGAGGACATAGCCACTGGCGCCAACTGTTCTAGCCTTAGCCTAGATCAGCGCAAGCAGGGCGACTGCTGTCTGGCTGTGTATGCAATGTGGCATGTATGCGCGTACAATTCGCAGAGAAGGGTCGCAATTGAAGCATTGAAGTTAAGCAAAATGCAAGGATACCCTACGCTGATCAAGGATTGCCAATGTCGCAGTGTGGAGGATGTGCAAATGATTTGAGGGTAGCGTGTCCGGGAACATGATCGCCGCGGGAGGGTGGGGCTAAGCAAGGTCTACGTCATTGAACTCCCCTAAACAAAACCTCCGTCATACTGCGACATCTCTGCGCCTTCCCTATCAACACAACACCTAAAAAACTTCGTACCCGGCCTCACCCTTCCAACTCATACTCGATATATCACTACAACACCGACGCCAACATGCACCGAACATACAGCATGCGCCAATCTCGCGCGCCCACGGCGTCGCAGATTCAGAGCCCCCCGCCACCTTCGTCCTCGACCAAGAGCGGGCGCTTCTTTGGCAAGGCTAACATTGGTATGTCTTCCACTTTAGAGATTTTCTGCATTCGCACCGTTTTTGTTTCGTGCGAAAAATGAGCTATAAGGACTGCGCAGTGCCGCCTTCGCACACCGCGTGAATAGCGCCTTGTCGCATAATGCAGCAACAGCACGTATTCCACGAGTGGATCTCACCGGATGGTCACTACAGTGTTACAAATATCATTGTCTATGTTATAGTTGCTAACTGATTCTCTGCTGTGTAGGCCACACCTTCCGCCACAAGTCTGCCGGTGCCTTCGGACCTGACCTTGCGAAGAAGTTGTCACAACTTGTAAAGATGGAGAAGAACGTCATGCGCAGCATGGAGCTGGTTTCTAGGGAGCGTATGGAGGTCGCAGTAAGTTTGCACTGCCCCTGTGCAACCCTACGTAGTACTGACTAGTCACACAGCAACAACTCTCCATTTGGGGCGAGGCTTGCGACGACGACGTCTCTGACGTCACTGACAAGCTCGGAGTTCTCATCTACGAAATCGGTGAGCTCGAGGACCAGTATGTTGACCGCTACGACCAATACCGTGTCACTATCAAGAGCATCCGCAACATTGAAGCTTCCGTTCAGCCCAGCCGTGACCGTAAGTTAATCACATGTGTACCACCAGAAAGACGCTTACAGTCGTATAGGCAAGCAGAAGATCACCGACCAGATTGCCCAGTTGAAGTACAAGGAGCCCAACTCCCCCAAGATTGTTGTCCTTGAGCAGGAGCTCGTACGTGCCGAGGCCGAGTCTCTGGTCGCCGAAGCCCAGCTTTCCAACATCACTCGTGAGAAGCTCAAGGCAGCTTTCACTTACCAATTCGACGCCATGCGCGAGCACTGCGAGAAGCTGGCCATCATCGCTGGCTACGGAAAGCACCTCCTCGAACTTGTCGACGATACACCAGTTACTCCTGGAGAAACCCGTCAAGCTTACGACGGCTACGAGGCTAGCAAGGCGTGAGTCAACTCTCCTTCCTTGCCCCAAGAAAAACATCTACTGACACACTACAGCATCATCCAAGACTGTGAGGATGCTCTTACCAACTGGGTGTCCCAGAATGCCTCCGTCTCCTCCAAGCTCTCCCAGCGATCGCGCACCCTTTCTCAGCGCCGCCGCAACCAGAACCGCAACATGGGTGAGGGTGTCGACCTCTCTGGCCAAGACCAGGCTCTCGACAGGGAGTCTGGCCTATGGATCCCCGCCGAGCAGCACCAGGGCAACGGTTACGACGACCGTGAGGACCTTGATGACGATGTTAACTCGACCATCGCTAGTGAGCATCAGCGTGGTCGTGAGGACGAGAGGATTGTTGCTGCTTAGATGTACCACTGATGATTTGAGCAGTGTTTCACTCTCTGTCAACTAATAGTCCGTCTTCGCAAGGACTGGCGACTTATACCCCTGATGGAATGAGCGATGGCACTGCAGTTTTGGATCCGATATATCCGTTCCATGCGGCTTGGGCGATGTGATTGAAAGCTTTCTGGTTATCAATCTCACTGGAAGCTGAGGTCTAGTTTTGCGTATACGGATTTCATGACTTTTTGACGATTTTCAACGCGTGGTACGTTTATAGGAAGTTTGCAGTAATATGATAATGAGAATAATATACACGCTTCTCTGAAGAAACGAGTTACATTTGCAGTCTTTGGTGTCAATTCCGTCCTCTCAAGTCAAGACCGGCTTCCAGTAACGGCGAATGTTAACCCGAACGTAGACTAGGACCACAAAGATAACTGTCATATCCAAGAGATGCGTCCTCGAGGCGGCGCACACGCCGAAATTCCTTGTGCATTCTCTGCGCATCCGGCTTCCCCAACATAGAATGCCATCGGTCATTTGCCGACGACCCACTTTCGGCGGGTGAGCAATACTCCGCCTTGCCGGTTTTGCTCATAGTGCGGGGCAACCAGGATGAATATCAATGACCGAAGACGGGTCTTTTGCCGGACCAAGGCCACTTTTCCTGGGGAACGAGAGTAGTGCGTGACGTCGGGCCGGGTGGGGTGATATGAGAGATGTACGTGGTCGATGTTTTATCTTTGATATTGTGACTCCAAACCTTAACTTCATGATCTATATCTAATAGACCTTACTTGAGAAAGAGCTAGACATTGGTTGTAGTGGAAGAAACAGGAAAACGACAGTTTCTCACTCCAGTTACTGAACACGATTCCAGCACAGTGCTCGTTGACGTTTAGCAATAGAATTGCTAGAGATTACCTTGGAAATATTGAACGACGAATCCGCTAAAACACAACAACAATGTCATCCAAGCCTGAAATCGGCTTCTGTGGCCTGGGCGCCATGGGAATGGGCATGGCAACACATCTCGTCAAGCAGGGCTACCCTGTAACCGGTTTCGACCTCTACCCACCTTCGCTCGAGAAGTTCAAGGCCGCTGGTGGCACTCCATCAACTTCACTCTCGGAGTCCGCAAAAGACAAGCCTTTCTATATCGTCATGGTCGCCGCTGCTTGGCAAGCTCAGCCTGCGCTTTTCGATAAAGACGGCATTGTGGGTGCGCTACCAAAAGGTGCTACGCTCTTGCTGTGCTCGACAGTACCCAGTGCATACGCGAAGAGTGTAGAGAAAGAGCTAGTAGATATCGGCCGGGACGATATCTTATTCATAGATGCGCCTGTTTCTGGTGGTGCAGGACGAGCAGCAGACGGCACTTTGTCCATCATGGCTGGTGCTTCGTCTGTGGCTTTTGAAAAAGGCCAATGGTTGCTAGAGGAGATGTCCGCACCCTCCAAGCTCTTCATTGTCGATGGCGGTATTGGCGCAGGTAGCAATATGAAGATGGTTCATCAAGTCCTTGCGGCAGTTCAGATTCTTGCTCTCAGCGAAGCATATGGTTTCGCTGCTAGGCTGGGCTTGAACGGCAAGGATGTGTACGATAAGGTGCTGGGGAGTACTGGGTGGAGCTGGATGTTTGAGAATCGCAGTCAAAGGACTTTGAAAGAGGATTATTTCCCAGGGGCAAGTGCTGTGACTATCATTCTGAAGGATACTGTGAGTAACTCCGTGTCTTCCAAAATTCCATTTTCGGAGAGACGAGACGACATGACTACGTGCTGACAAGGAATACAGGGCATCATCACATCTACAGCTCGCAGTGTAGCGTTCCCAGCAACCCTTTGTTCAGCCGCAGAACAAGTCTACTTCTCCGCGCTCGACCGAGGCTGGGGAGCTAACGACGACGCTGGCATCGTCCGCCTATGGACTTCTGAACCCGTCACCAGCATCCAGAGCAATCTCTCAGCCGAAGACAAAGAAGCAAAACTCCAGCTTGTCGTCAACCTTTTAACCGGTATTCACCTCGTTTCTGCGGCGGAAGCCATTTCCCTAGCCAAACACGTTGGCATTCCTCTGGCACAATTTTACGAGTTGGCCTGTGATGCTGCAGGCGGAAGTAGCATGTTCAAGGACGCAGGTGCGAAGATGATTGCGGTTTTGGAGGGCAAAGAAGATGGCAAAGGGAAGGCACTTGGAGGGTACGCGGAATCACTGAAGCAGGCTGTAGATGAGGCACAGGCGATCAAGTGTCCTGTGTATCTTGGCACTGGCGCCTTGAATCTTTTGTTGCAGACAGGGAGCGAGTTGAGTTTGGGCTCGTTGCTCAAGTGCTATATGCCTTAGAGCTGGAAGAAGCATTGTGCACAGAGATGTCAACAATCAATCTGGATTGATTGGCTTGATTGATTCGAATCAATCTGCTCATTCAATCAAGCCAATCTCAAGATTTTTTTGCATCAATCAAGCCAATCCGGATGTTTTTGTAGATCTTTTACTTAGTTAGGCTAGCTAATTACCTATTTAGGAAGGTAGCTTCTATCAATCCTATCAATTCAATCTACTTATTTTGAAAGAGCTATCAATTCAATTCAATCTGGGGTGCTCAGATTGATTGGCTTGATTGTTGACAAGTCTGATTGTGCAGCCGAGCGACACTATCAAATTTTCTGCGAGATGAAATTGAAAGCATGTCTACATCTAGTCTTTTGTGGTGATGGTGACAGTTCCCACCTCTAGACCCTCTGCCATAGCCGTGATTGTCAGGGAGCCTGGTTTTCCCTTCTTCGCCTTCACGATAGCCAATGCTAGTCCGTTGAATGAATCTCTCTGCAGAGACTGGAATGGAACAAAATCTGCTTCGAACCCATTGTCCGTAGCAGCAATCTCTCCCGGCCCTTCGATTGCGAAGTCAATTGTGTGGTGAGCATTGCGCACAACATTCCCTTCACCATCCACCACTTCCAACGTAACGAAAGAAAGATCCAGCCCGTCAGCCGAAATCTCATCTCGATCAACCGTAAGCCTTAATGCGGCTGGTGGCCCAGTTGTGCTCACACTTTCCGTCGCCCATTCCTCTCCACCCTTGTACGTTACCACCTTGACCTCACCAGGCTGATACACAACCTCATCCCATCTAGCCCTATACTCGGACGCACTGAGGCTTTTCCTCCCTAGAGACACACCATTCACCCATAGCTCAGCCTCTTCAGCATTTGTAAACACATGCACAGGCGTCACCATGCCCACTCTCTCAGCCCAATTCCAATGCTGCGGTACTATATGTGCGATTTTGACATCTGGTCGCCACCTTGCCTGATACAGATAATACCGATCCTTTGGAAATCCAGCAAGGTCAATAACACCAAAATAGGAACTGCGAGCGTCGTAGTATGGCTCCGGCTCGCCTAGGTAGTCCCAGCCTGACCATACGAATTCACCGGCGACAAAGGGATTCGCGTCTTGCGCGGCAAATACTTTGTCGGCCGAGGAACCAAAGTTTGCGGTATGGAGCTCGTAGGCGGAGACATAGTAGAGAGACGAGTTTCCACCGCCATTTGTGTCGTTCACGGGGGCGCTATTGAGGTCTGTGACGGGGAAGAGATAGGTACCTCGTGAGCTTAGTGCAGCCGCAGATTCGCTTTCTGCTATCAGTTTGTCCGGGAAGGCATCGTGGAAGGGTTTGTACTGCGGTGGGGTCCGCGTGCCGTTTGTGAAAGAGTACTGAGGTGTATCGCGGATACCTTCTCCCTGGTAGTTCAAGCTCAGGATGTCGAAAGCCTGAGGGAAGGTCATGTTTGGTTTCGCTACATTCATGGACGCCGTGACGGGTCGGCTAGGATCTTCAGATTTGACAATGTCGTTCAGTAGGCGACCTATCTCGTAGCCTCGGTCTCCGCAGCATGTTTGCTCGCCGACTTCGTTGCCTACGCTCCAAGAATAAATGGAAGGGTGGTTGCGATCCCTTCGAATAAAGGACCGAAGATCAGCTTCGTGCCACTCGGGAAAAATAAGGTGGAAATCATTGTCTGTCTTCTTTTGTTCCCAGCTGTCGAAGATTTCGTCCATGACTACAAAGCCCATGCGGTCGGTCATGTCGAGAAGCTCTGGTGCCGGTGGATTATGCGCCATGCGGATAGCGTTCACTCCGAGTTCTCGCAGAGCCTCCAATTGGCGTTTAGCTGCACGATCGTTCCACGCGCTCCCGAGAGCTCCAAGGTCATGGCAGTGTTGGTCTACGCCTTGGATTCGTAGGCGTTCCCCGTTAACGGAAAGCCCTTCTTCGCCACTGTAGGTAAACGACCGGATGCCGAAGTGTGTCTCGTACGTGTCGATTGGAATACTACTGTTGTGGCTCAACAGGCTGGTAACAGCGACGTACATATTCGGCTTTTGGTTTGGCGGAGGTCCCCACAAATGAGGGTCTTCAATTGCAACTGTAGCGTTCGCAGATTGTTTGCTTCCGGACAGCATTAGACTTGTCCTAGGAAATTCTACCACCTTTTCTCTCATCTTCTTCACCTCCGCATCGTAGATGTATATGTCGGTAGCAACTTCAACCTCTTGACTCGCATTGTCTTTGGCTTCCACATGGACTGAGATGTCGACAGTCGCAGCTTCTGCACTTACATCTCGTGTCGAAACATGGACCCCCCAATTGGCAACGTGAATCGGCTGGACCTTAGTCAACCAGACATTTCGGTAAAGACCAGCACCTGGATACCATCTCGAAGAGTCTATGGGATTGTCGAGCCGGACCACCAACTGGTTCTCGTTGCCTGGCTGCAAGTGAGGCGTGAGATCAAGACGAAATGAGTTGTACCCATATGGCCAACCGCCTACCAAATTACCATTGAGCCAAACCATAGCGTAAGACATTGCACCATGGACATCAAGGTAGATCACCTTTCCCGCATCTTCATTGAGAATTGATAGCTTCTTTCGGTAATACCCTACTCCTTGCGACGGTAGCCTTGCCATGCCACCTGTGATAGGAGTTGGATCTCCGATGTAGTAGGGTCCTTTGATTGCCCAATCATGCGGCAACGTAACATCCTCCCAAGAACTGTCGTCGAAGGAGGTTTGTATGTACGGAATGTTGACGATAGGGCTGGCCGTCGGGGCTTCATAGTGCTTCGACACATCTTGTATGAATTCGTTGGCGCCTGGGAGAATCCATGGTCTCAAGTATGTGACATTCCCTTGAGGCGTATCGGTGCGGTTGTCGTACGTGATCCCATCCGGGTTCTTCTCGGATCGCCAGAACCGCCAGTCTGTATTGATACTCACGCGTTCACGACCGGTAAATGATGTATCGTAATTTCGTGTTTGTACAGCATATGCTCCCACTAGATCGTTATATAGGGATAAGAACCCTAAGCAAATGAACCTAGCAGCCATGCTAGCCGTTTAGCGAAGCTTTGTTCGCCTCAGAAGCTATTGGCCATGCCCAAGACCTTATAGTCCCTTTGATAGCGAGAGGACCAACTACTGTAAGAGGAGCTGGAATATGGTCTGCTGCGTCACTCCCCCTCATGCGTAGTCGGTATCTTCCGCGACGGTTATGAAAAATACTTGGGATGAGATATTAGCCTGAGGAGCCGCAGATCTACCTCAGAAACTACCCTGATCAAGACCAGGTCTTCATCTTTCTCAGGTACGGGTACTTCCTCTCCGCATCAAAGGTAGCAATCCTCTCCACAAATTATCCTCCAATAACGTTGTTTTCCGCTAGAGCATCATGATGGGCGCTCGTAGTCGGAATACGATACCATGTAGAGAATCTGACTACGTAATTGTGTCGGCGACACTTCGTACAAGACCGTTGTTGATGAGCATATTCGAGGGGTCGGCTCGGTCGAACAACCTCCGGCTGGAACTACCCCACACATTCCCCAAAGCTAGGAGCGACTTCCCTGCCCTATGTCAACAAAGAATCTCGACGTCTGTGAAAAACGCTGTGAACTAAAACATCGAAGCATTAAGAACTCCTTTATCTGCCATTAGGCTTTGCATCGACATCGCACTCAGTCCAAGTTTGCATTCTTCAGCATCTCTCGCGTCTTGTTATACTTAGTCACCAAGCTGTTGGAACAGGCAAGTGCATATGGTGACGGAACGAACCGCGAGAGCTCTCGCAGCGTTTCATCGAGTTGAATTTCGTCTGTCCCAGAAGGTTGACCGAACAACCGGATCAGCCCCTCTACACTCAGGTATCCACATCGAAGACCCGCCTTCTAATTAGGCTCGCGGACGTTGTTTTCCACAACTTGGTGCTTCTTCTTTGTCCTCCCATCCATAGCGACTGCTATACGACGGCGCTGCGTCCGAAATCATGCTTCCGTTCCACCACGTGTCGCAAGAAGCCTTCTTCAATCCTATGCCTATTGAGTCAAAGCATATCCCATGCAAACTAGCTGTCCCTGACTCTGGTGAGAGCCCTATCTATGTAGGTAGGGGTATATTCGAATCCGGTGCTGGCACTCTGTAGCTGATGATCTAGCTCGTGGCGCACTCGGGATGGGGTCGTGATGGGTTTCGACGTATTCGAGGTGGAAAGGTCTACGGAGTCTTGAAGTCACTGCGTCTTCTCCAGCATCATGTCCGCATATCCATCTCAAGATCTCTGGTCTCTCTGCTCAAGTCCTGCACATCGTCTTGAGCCATTATTTGTGCGCTGGCGTCTAGATCTTGTATGACGTTCTCTAGGCCTCGTACTAGGGCTTCTATTTCGGCACGCTGTGCAGTAACAGTCGACAGCAGCTCGGTATTCGACTGCTGAGTCTCCACGAGCTTAGTGTTCATCTCTGTCGCTTGCTTCTCGAGGTAAGGCATGAGGTGCGCTAAGTGTATTTCGGCCGGGGTAAGGGTATGGGGTCTTTGATGATGGGTTAGTATTTAATAGCGACAGTTAATGGTGCTTTTGCAGGACTCACGGCACAGGTGTCTCAACGGGTCCACCGTTGGCGCTCGCTTCGGCGCGCCTCTTTCTTAATTTCGCATCTTCTATGCACTGGTCTAGCGAGTTGAGAAGCTTAACAACATTCCTCCTCTCCATGATGTCCTCGAAGTTGGTCTTCCATGTCCGGTCCAGCTGATCCACGATCTGCCCTCTCAAGTTGTCTAGTACCTCTGGGCTATACTGCGCGGCCGTAGGGAAACACGAAGCAAAGTTCTTGGCCGAACACTTGTCTAGGGTCGCTTTTGAAGCCTGATTGAAGACATTGATCAGACCTTGTGCGCGCGGGCCAGGAGCATCAGCAATAGGTCGGGCAGGTATGGGAGACGGAGAGCGTGACTCTGGGTTCGTAGCGGTAGGCATAGTGGTGTAATCGTGAATCAGTATGGCGGGTGGCAGTCTGGCGTGGAGCGGTCCAGTGAACGTTATCTTTGTCGCATTGCCCTCATCGCAACCCAAGCGTGTTTACCTCGAGGCGCGCTAACCAATACACGTGATGGCGTGTCCCGCTAACCCAGCCCCACTTCCCCACAACCATCTCCAACAACTTTTTGTAACTTCCCTAATGTGTCTCTGTTCCTGGCATCGATTAAGGACGATCAACATGACTTTTACACAGTCTTCGGATACATCCGGTAGTTTAAACTATGCTGGCAGTGGTACAGACCTAAAACGCGTCATGCCACGGCGAGGTTATGGACCCAAGTTCATCCACAAGCCGACAGCATTGCGCGAGTCTGGCAACATTGCCCGAACGAGCGCCAAACGCAGAACAGACACCTCTGGAGCTCTATGTAATACACTGGATTTGTACAGGAGAACTCTCGAACAAACCTAGCTTTCTTATTATCGACTAACCTCACTTCTAATATTTTAGCAAAGGGACAAGGTTGCAAATCACGGCTCCCTTCAGACCTAAACATGGGGCCGCTCATTACGGACATGGCTATCAGAAACCAAGCCGTCGAATGAATACAAAACCACTAATGAGCGCGGCTGGGGTTCAAGATCCTAAGGAAGTCAAACAACCGAGGAGCTTACCGGATCAACCCCCATGTGTTTATCGTGCAACTATTCAAGACACCGACCATCGGACCATACCCTCACTCCCGTCACAGATACTCCACTTCCAGAACGACCAAGCTGAGCCTGCGAAGATAGATCATGCAGCTGAGAAGGAACCAACCATTAAGGAGTCAGGCTCAGTCCTAAAGAAGCGGGCTTTCAAAAAGAAAGAGGCACGCTCTGAGCGAAATGCGAAGAAACGTATCTTTCGGGAGTACGAGGAGCAAGTCATGAACGAAGAGCGCACAGCCAAAGAGAAAACAAACATCAGGGTGACACGCTCAGTCACGAAGAGGCGGGCCGCCACAAGGGAGGAGATGAAGCTCGGTGGAAATGTCATGTTCACCGTACAGCAGGCTATTACCGTATACAAGAGACAGAAAAAGGATGGTTTTCCATTGGATCTACAGGTAAAAAGATTCAGGATAGGATGAAGGGCAGAAAGAGAGGTGACAGTGACCAGCATGAAACCTGGTAGAATACCCCGACGGGAGTCTTTGCAACAGAAACCGATAGCCCAAGGAAAGGAACCAGGATGAATTGGGTGCTTGTCAGGTACACTGTACCGCGGGGGGGGGGGATTCTCGCTTGTCAACGCACGCAAGGCAAGTATGACTACCCGTTAGACATAGGGTAGCAAGCAAAATCCCTTGACTGGAAGCTTCAATCTATCAGTAGCATGATCTCTTGACCCACGATTGAAATCGTTCGTGTTTGCAGACGTGATGGTAGACATAAAGAACACCATTGTATGCAAGAAAATCTTTGTTATGATCAAGGTCAGGCATGTGATCCTTCGTCAGCGATGGAAAAAGAAGGATTAAATTTTCTCCCTAGCATGTCGCTACAACGAGACACAAGGATGAATCGCAACTATCAACGATGAATCGACCATGTTCCACAAAGCAAAGCGCTAATGTGCATACATCTACTCTTCGAGGTAAGAAAGCTTACGCATCTCACCCAACCTCGTTCTAGCCTGTGCAAGCGAGTTCTCGAGTTGCAGAATCTCGACCTAAATTGATCTGTTAGTACATGTTCCTCTTCAAACAATGTTCGGTGTTCACATACCTGCTGCTCCATCTGGCGAACCTTGAATTCGTGGTCGCCCAACTTGCTGTAGTCGACTTCCTGGCCTTCGTCCCTGTTCTTCTGGGCGATAATCTCCTGTACCTGCCTGACGAGCGACCTGCAAGCCGCCGTGACAGTCTTGGATGCACCCTCGAGCCTGTCTTGCGTCTTGCTCATGAAGCTGGCCTTGACACGACTGGCAGCCACCAACTGAGCGGTGGAAGCAGCGACGTCGTTGGAAGCGACAATGAGCTGCTCAGGCGAGTTGCGACCGGAGATGACACCGTCGGCGGTCTCGATGAGCATGTTTGTCGATGTGGCGACGGCCTTGGCAGCACTGATGAGACCTTCGGTCCAGCGGTTGTGCTTCTTGTAGAACTGCGTCTTGGACATGCTTCCTCGGCCTTCGCGAACAATTTCTTTCTGCGATTCTGTCGCTGCCTTGATGAGCTGAGCAATCGCATTCGTGACGGCGATGGCGGCTTCGAGGATGGAGTCGTGGATCTTGAGCTCGTAGGTTGAGTACTGGTCCCTTGGCTTCTTCATCAGCTTCGCCAGACGCTCGGCCGCCGCGTCGATGGCGTTGGCTGCCTTGGTCAACTCGTTGTCAACCAGATCGCCAAGGTCGCCAGAGGCATTGGTGATCTTGCTCTTGGGCGCGAACGCGTCTGCAAGCTTAGACAAGCTCTGCAGGTTGCGCACAACCTCGGTGCTGTTGTTGATGACAACGTTGATCTTCTGCTCTGCGTCCATGTCGTACATGCGCACTGACTGGACGTTACGGAAGAACCTGATGGTTGACATTGCAGAAGTCCTTGCACCACCAATGAGCTGGTCGGCCTTGTTCTCGTCAGAAGCGAATCGCGTCAATCCCTTGGTGTTCACCAAAACATCAACTATCGCGCCACCAAAGTTGTTAACGGCGTTAATGACCTCAGCGTGCTTTGCGTTCGGCCCGTCAGCGATGAAGTTGTTGAACGCGGTCGAGAATTCCATGGTACATGTCGATGCCCTCTCAATCTGCGAGAGCACATACGGACCAGTAGCGTTCTGGTTACCAGCCTGCATAGGAGAGTCCAGTTCGTACAACGCATCGTCGACACGTTGCACACCACTTTGGAGGACCGAGTCGATGATGTCGTTGATCTTCTGAAGACTGTCTTGGATAAGGGTATCCAAGTGGCCGTCCAGGACATCATCGTTCGTGCCGGCATTGAGCTTCAGCTCGTTGAGTTCGAGCAGTGTCTGGTCCATACCGGCACGGAAGATCTCCAGCTCCTCCTCCTTGTCACGCAGTTGACGCTCCAAGTCAGAATCACCTTCGCGGTACTTCATCTGGAACTCATCTAGCGTACGGGTCTTGTTTCGCAGCGCCTCCTCAAGATCTGCAATTTCTCGGTTGTGTCTCGACAGCATTGCCGAGAGTTCTGAGCCCTTGCCGCGCTCGAGGTTGTCGGCTCTATCCAGAGCAGCGCGGAGTTCCCGCTTCAGTTTCTCAGTCTCCTCGCGGTGACCACCAGTGTGGCGGTCCTTCTCCATGAGTGCTCGGTCGCGCTCACGGATCATATCTGCCAGCTCCAAGTTCTTGGTCTTCAGTTCGCGTTGCAGCCTGTCCCTGCTATCAATGGCTTCCTGGGCTGAGTTTGCCTTGAGCTGAACTGTCTTGAACTTCTGCAGCAGTTGAAGATGCTCATGACGCAGTTGCGAATATAGCTTAGCCAACGACTCGTACTTTGATCTCCATGTGTTGAGCTGCTCCTGAAGTGCCCTTATCTGATCGTCTCGCGAGCCCATTTGCTGTTGGAAGTTTTGATTCATTTGGTTGATCTCGCCTTCTAGAGCCTTCATCCTCTGGTCGTATTGTTGTAGCATGAGCTGGTCGCGTTCGTACTGTGCGCGCGCATTCAGGTTTTCCCGCTCAAGCTCAGCAAGACGCCCCTGTGTCTGCTGTTGATACTGATCGCGCATGAGTTGCTCTTGCGCCAACCGAGCTTGTTCTGCCTGGAGCCTTTGTTGCTCTTCGAAGTCACGTTGTGCTTGCATCGCTTGCTGTTGCTGCTGCTGTTGAGCCTCCTCCCATTGTCGCTGTAGTCGCTGCTGTTCGGCTTCGTATTCCTCTTGCTGCCTACGCTGGTTGTCTTTCCAAAACTCGTTGATCGGCTCTGGGTCGACCGAGGGAGCGCGTGTGGGTTCCGCAGGCTTTTCGTTTTGTGGTCGTTTAGGTAGCGCCGGCGCACTCTCATCTTCAGAAAGTAGGTTTGGTGGTTCTTGTGGCAGCTTTGGTACTGTGATGAGGTTTGTCAGGTATCGCAGATTCGAGCATTCGTAGTAGAACTTGACGAGACGGTAATGCTGCGCATCGTATCGTCCGCGTAGAGGCGAGAGCGCTTCATCGTCACCGAGTGCTACACTGGTTAGCTGGGTTGCAACTTGGCCGAAGTCCTGTCACTTACTTGTATGCATCGCGCGCAGCATGCTAGTGATGAACTTGTAGATACCATACGACTCCTGAACCAACGGCACTAACGCCGCTATCCTGCACTCATTGTTCGCGCCGCTTCGGAAGTGAGAGAAGATGAGCTTCTGGAAAGCATCGATCTGATCCTGTAGGGTCATAAGGTCCGAAATGGTTTCATACCCCTCGTTGGGGTCGTTGATCGACTTCAAGCTGATGTACTCCTCGTATTCGAAGGTTCCTGTTCCAATCAGCCCAATGCTTGTGCCCTGCTACCAACTTTCGTACCATTGAACTCCGGGTGTTGTCGGTGGAAGGCAAGCTTGGCCATGAGATAGTAGATGTACTCGGAGATAAGCGGCGCATATCCTCGCATGCCTTCGCCGACTGAGGAGCCGCGTGATAAGCTCTCAAGCCAGCTGGTGTTCGATTGCGCCTCCTTGAGAACGATGGGATGGCCTTCCTGTAGGACCTTGTGGACCGTAATGAGCGCTTTGAATGTTTGCACCTCGTCGGCGAGAATTGGCTGCCTGGAATATGCTATCAGCATTGGTCGCAGTTTGGACACTATGGATGCGCCTTAGTTGACCTACACTTTCATGCCCTGCCAGAAGGAGGCAGAACTCTTGTGGTCCCACGTGTAGACAATGCATGCTCGCACATGTTTTCCTGTGCCAATATAAGCCTCGCTCGCGATCTCGGGGGGTTCGGCACGTACTCTTGGGTGAGACCTCTTCGATGCTTGTGGCTTTACGAATGTTTATGGCAAGCTCCGACTCCTGCCTGTGGTATTCTTTAGCCTGTACTCTGAACAATGCAGCAACGGGTTCCTATGTGTGTCTGGCCCAGTCCGGCATGATGGTGATGGTATACGTACTTCCCCATGTCCACGTTGCGCGAGCTTCCGTAGAGCGCCATCTTGCTCGCCGTAAGCCCCTTCTTGGTTTAGTTGTTGGTGGTATCAGGTAACTGTAGAAATGAAAGGCTGTGGGTCCGTGTCGAGAAGGCGCGCAAAAGTAATGCGCAGGAATGAGGAGGTGTGGGGATGAGTTAAGTGGTTGCGCTGTTGGGGTCAGTCAACCATCAGAGGAGCTCCTACTACCTACTCGACCGACCCTGGGAGGTGGTTCGTGCTGCTTGGCGCTTCGTCATCGCCTTCACCCGCGACGAGGCATCGCACGCGATAATTGGTTGCTGCCCAACTAACCTTCTTACATTTCCCATTGCATCCTAGAAGTACTTGCAGGTAAAACCTCTTTACTCTAGCCATAATCCCCCTAAGGCGTGTCTTGCGCAACCCGTGCCGCGAACTCCTCCCCCCGGGCTGTGCATCCTGGCATAAACTGTTGCCTTCGCCATCGACTAACAACGCATACGCGGCTGCATGCGCAACCGCCTCGGAGTCTGAGTTGGCATTTGTGATGGAGGGTGAGAGGATGCATCTTCACTAAATGGGGCTGCATGGCTTCGCTGCATGCACCCTCGAACCGCGAACTGTACCGATCACGCATGGCCAGCGCAACGATCATCAGGAACTGCTATGTCATTTTACATGATATGCTCGGATGCGACTCAAGGGTATAAACGCCATACAATGCTACTAGTAATACAATATTGATGCCCTATGACGCCGTGACGAAAGGCTGGACAACTTAAACCGCCTCACTTTTACCTCCCTTGCTGAGATATGCTGCCATAGGGTCGGCAGCCATTGTCCTTTTGCGGCGATACTCTTCCATTTCTTCTTCATTTACGCCTCCAGTCATCTCGTCGAGAGCTCGTTTCCGACTGGCAGCATCGCTTTTCTCTTTCTCAGCGCGGTCTGGAGCATTCGGTACGTGTTCCTCGAGAGCCGCCTCTTCTTTCCATGCAATCTCTTTGGGAACTTCGTCCAGGTCAGCACCGGTTCGCATCCGGTCTGCTAGCTCAAAAGCCTCCTTGCCTGCCTCGCCTGTGCAGTACGAGTTCTTGACGGTGGAGTGACAGCATGCAAAACCCCATTGGAAGTTTGACCACCAACTGCCCCAAACTGATGTGTGGTTGTTTAGTAGTACATCCTCTGGATACTTGGACTTTGCCTTGACTTTTGGTGCACCCTTGATGCCGCCCCGCTCGTCGTACTCGACATATCGCTCGTTCTCTGTGACAGCCGTCTTGCGGAGTGTGTCGTCAGTGAACTTTTCCTGGGTGCCGTACTTCTCGGCCAGGGCCTTCTTCCTGGCTGCGGCCATCTCCTCAGCCTCCTTCAGCTGTTTCTTCCGCATGACCTCGCCAGATGTAGGATTGGCCTGCAAATGTAGTTTGTTTTTGTCTCCGCGCTCCTGTGTCTCCCAAGCATATCGCTGCGCCTTCTCAAACTCGGCTGCATCTCCAGAGGCCTTCATGAAGCCCTCTTCTGCTACCAATTGGGCTGCGTTGTCGGCTGTTGCACCGCTGTCAACCATGGAGCGTGTCTTGGGGTCGTATTTGGCCGAGTCTAGATCCAGGTTGAGCAGGTACTTTGCAGTGTCTTCTCGTAATCGCAAATTGCGCGTAGATGTGGCTTGCTTCCTTCCCATGTCTGTCTCAGCGTCGTATTTGTCGCCCTCGTCTTCGTCGTCAGACTTGTCACCCTTTTCAGCTTCTTTTGCCTTCTTCCGGATCTCCTCCATGGCGTTGTATTCCTCAATGACTTCCTCAAAATGCGATGCATCGTAGCCATTCCATCGATCGCGCTTCGCATCGAACCCTAGTTGCACGTCCTGGATGACCTCGTCTGCCTCGATGTTCTTGCCCGTGAACTTGGCGCCTGCCTTGCGTGGCCGGCTTAAGCAGTCCTTCTTCTTGTGCGTCATGGCTCCGCAGTTCTCGCATGCGCCTTTGCGGAATTTGGTCGCAGCCGGCCCTACCTTCTTCCCGCGATCGTACCATTTTGAATCTTGCTCCTGCTTCTGTAGACGCTGATGCTCGAGGTAATCGGTGTTGTCCTCGCCAGTCTCGTCGACTGCGTAGAAGGGCTTCTTGGAGATGAAGGAGGGGATGTATTCGTTGCGCTCTTTCGCCGCGGCAGACACGTCGGGCTTCTTGGGTTGAGAGGGCGGCATGTTGGTCTTGGTGTGATGCCTCGGTCGCGTTGAGTGGTCAAGGTTGTCAGTGTTGGTAGAAGCTTTAGGTTGGCGGCGAAAGTGGATCGCGAATTAGTGGCGTAGGGCTGCAGCGTCGATCTCGCGTCTCACGGGACCACGCGCATTCCCGTCGCGACTTGTTGAGCACCGCGTCTCTTTCACCTTGCCACGCCACCGGTCCCTCCTGAGTGCGATGCGCGATCTCGGTTTCGAATAATCTTCAGAACATGATGCGAGTCTTCCTCCTCGCACACACCTCCTGGATACCAGCTGTGCCGTCATGGACCGTTTCCGCTTTCGCCTGAACTGCATCGACAATTACCAAGCGGCACCAACAGACCTCGACCCTCCTCTACGGCGCAAATATGGTCCCGCGGGTCGCTTGGACGCGCCACAAGTCCCGGTAATTCGAGCCTTTGGTGCGACCGAGACTGGCCAAAAGGTGTGCGCTCATATCCATGGAGCGCTGCCTTACCTGTATTTGGAGTACAGTGGCAGTTTGGAGAGCGAGGTTGGTGGGTGCAACATAGCCCTTGGATAGGAACAAAACTGATGTTTCTTAGTAAATGCGTACATCCTCGACCTTCGTACCTCTATTGACCACGCTCTCGCCACCGCCTACCGACGTAACGCATACGATGGAAAGTCGTTATACGTTGGCCATATCTCCCTCGTCAAGGGCGTGCCCTTCTTTGGGTACAACGTCGGGTACAAGACTTTTTTGAAAGTCTACATGCTCAATCCTATGCATATGACGCGATTCACCGATCTTCTGCATCAGGGAGCAATCCTGAACAAGGTGTTCCAGCCATACGAGAGCCACCTACAATATCTCCTGCAATGGATGTGCGATTATAACTTGTACGGGTGTGACTACATCAACTGCGGCAAGGTACAATTCCGAGGACCCGTTCCAGACAGTGACGAGGTAGATGTCACTGTGCATAAGTGGCACGATGCCTCTATTCCTGATGAATTCATGGCCGATGAGGATCAGTATCCGCGTCAAAGCCACTGCACCCTCGAGGTCGATATATGTGTTCAAGACATCCTGAACCGGCACGAATTACAATATCGACCCATCCATCATGATTTTCTGGAACGTTCAAGCCAGCTGCCTCGCAATCCAGACGATAAGTTTGTGCCATCAATGGCTGGTCTATGGCGAGATGAAACTCGTCGGAGAAAACGTCGCATGGGTCTTTCGGGTCCTTCGAGCAGCCCATTCCCTGCCGAAGTTCTCGTGTCAATATCAGCGGATGAACGGGACACAAAGAAAGGTGGATGGATTCACGAAGAAGAATATCGAGAAATTGTCGAAAACTTGATTGTCGAGGAAAGACGAGGACAAGGAGAAGCAAGACTGGATACCTTCGTGAAGCCCGTCGCTGGTCAAGAACACATTAGGACTGCTGTAGAGAGCATCGAAGATCTCTATCCCGAGATTCTTTCTACACAACAACTCCCAAATGATGAGAACGAACTAGATGATGATTATCTGACAGAAGACGATGGTGCGTCTGTTGGTGTTGGAGCCCGACCGGCATTCGATGAACCGGGACCAAACCAGCTGCACAGTGACGCCACTACTGGCGACGAGCAAAATGAGAATCCAATAGACGCCGGTAATCAGTCCAATACTGAAGAGCAACAATCACTGGATCCCCTGACTGCATCATTACTCAAGGGCTTTAGCGACATGGAAGCTGAAGATGTGCTCATCGACGAAGGCATTGATTTGGTCGATCCGAACGATGATGGCGAACCACCCAGTAGCCCGATAAACACACGGAAGCGCTCTCTTGATTCTATAGACGAACAAGACAAGAAGCGTCAACGAGTAGCGGCCGTAACGCCAGGTACCAACAAACGCGTTTCGTTTCGCAATGCCCTTAACAAGGGTGAAGAGTCGCATCACCCTGTTCAGGCTTCGCAAGGAAGTACTAAAGCTCAGGGCCTGGGAGGACCTACTACACTTTCGTTTCCCGTAGTGAAGAATCCAAATGCACCGGGGACGATACTTCGCTTGAGCCAATCGAGGTATTCAAACTCACAAGAAGGACCAAAGACACCCGGACCGAAGTATCTTGAGGCGAAAGCCTTGCAACACTCCCCTACGACTCCGTGGACGCACCAGAAGACTTCGCCTATGATGCTCAATAGCAATACCCCAAAAGCTCGCACTCAAGCAGCCTCTCTAGTGCAGCGATTGGAAAAACTACAGAAGCACATACATCCTACTGTCTACTATGGCTGTCTACCTCCATCGGTTGAGGTTGTTGAAGGTACTTGGATGCATGCTGGACTCCCGCCGGTAATCTATCAGGATGCCTACTACAGCGAGGACAAGGATGTTCCGGATCGACCGAGAAATTATGCGGGTAAAGAGTTCATCCTACAGAACACTACGTTACCGTATCTTCCTCCGTTCGACCCCACCGGTGCGTCTCTTGCCAACATCGGAGAGTATCCGCTTGCTGTGGTAGACAAAAACAAGGAGACTACAATGAACCAAGCAAGGTCACGTCGTTGTGGCCTGCGTCACTGGGAGCTTGCTACACCTCCACCTACCTTCAAGGAGGTTGAGAGATGGAACAATCGGCGACCGAAGCCACGCAAGGTAGCGAAGTCCAAATCCGAAGCAGACGAGCTGACGCCAGCAACATCACGCAAGTTCAAGCCCATGAGTCATCTTTCACAAATCGAAGGTCCAACACAGAAGAATCCGCATGGCTTCAAATACTCTTTGAAACAAGATACGACCAGCGTCAAGCACGAGTCTCAATACATGAGCATCATGAGCTTGGAAGTACACGTGAATTCTAGAGGTTCTCTTGTACCAGACCCGGCTGAGGACGAGATCCAATGCATTTTCTGGAGCGTGCAGGGTGAGGAAAATGCGACTACCGACCGCCCACGTGCCGGCATTTTGTGCTTCTCTGACGAAGACGGCATCGCTCAACGAGTTGCTAAGCAAGCCCCAGTAGAGGTTGAATACGAGGAAGATGAGTTGGATCTGATCAACCGCGTAGTTGATATCGTCCGCCAGTTCGATCCGGACATACTCACTGGATACGAAGTACACAACAGCTCTTGGGGTTACCTCATAGAACGTGCGAGGATGAAGTACGAGTACAATCTGTGCGATGAGATCAGCAGGATGAAGTCGCAATCCCATGGCAGGTTCGGAAAGGAGGCCGATCGATGGGGCTTTACACATACTTCGACTATTCGAATCACTGGCCGCCATATGATCAACATTTGGAGAGCTATGCGAGGGGAGCTAAACTTGCTTCAGTACACTTTGGAGAACGTAGCCTTCCACTTACTCCACAAGCGCATACCACACTACCAGCATTCTGATCTTACGACTTGGTATCTAAGTGGCAAGCCACGAGATCTGGCAAAAGTGATCGATTACTTTCTAACACGCGTACAACTCAATTTCGACATTCTGGAAGCCAATGAGACTGTGCCTCGAACTAGCGAGCAAGCTCGTCTGCTTGGCGTGGACTTCTTCGCAGTCATCTCGCGAGGCTCTCAGTTTAAGGTAGAATCTACCATGTTCCGTATCGCAAAGCCCGAGAACTTCATCCTTGTTTCACCAAGCCGAAAGCAGGTCGGTCAACAGAATGCGCTTGAGTGTCTACCTCTGGTGATGGAGCCGCAGAGCGCGTTCTATTCAAGCCCGGTGCTTGTCTTGGACTTCCAATCGTTGTACCCTAGTGTGATGATCGCTTACAACTATTGCTACTCAACATGTCTTGGACGTATTGTCAGCTGGCGAGGCCAGAACAAGATGGGTTTTATGGACTTCAAGCGCGAGCCGCAATTATTGGAGCTGGTGAAAGATCACATCAACATTGCGCCAAACGGTATGATGTACGTCAAGCCAGAGATGCGGAAGTCGCTATTAGCGAAGATGCTCGGTGAGATCTTAGAGACTCGCGTGATGGTCAAGAGTGGGATGAAGCAGGACAAAGACGATAAAACATTGCAACAGCTGTTGAACAACAGGCAGTTGGCATTGAAGCTACTAGCAAACGTCACCTATGGATATGCGTCTGCGTCGTTCTCCGGTCGCATGCCATGTTCAGAGATCGCGGACAGCATCGTCCAGACTGGTCGCGAGACCCTCGAGAAAGCTATTGCGATCATTCACGCAACTGAGAAGTGGGGTGCAGAAGTCGTCTACGGAGACACTGATTCACTTTTTATCCACCTCAAAGGACGCACCAAGGACCAGGCATTCACCATTGGCGAGGAAATTGCTGCAGCCATTACCGCAGCGAACCCACGACCGATCAAACTTAAATTCGAGAAGGTATACCATCCTTGCGTTCTACTTGCGAAGAAGCGCTACGTAGGCTTCAAGTACGAACACCGGAACCAGAAGGAGCCGGACTTCGATGCAAAGGGAATCGAAACAGTCCGTCGAGACGGTACACCTGCGGAGCAAAAGATCGAAGAGAAAGCCTTGAAGCTTTTGTTCCGCACGGCAGACCTCAGTCAAGTAAAACGCTACTTCCAAGAACAATGCGCGAAGATCATGGAAGGTCGCATCAGCATCCAAGACTTCCTCTTCGCAAAAGAAGTCAAACTAGGCACATACTCTGATAGAGGTGCTCCACCACCCGGTGCCCTCATTGCCACAAAACGAATGCTCGCCGACCCGCGTGCGGAGCCTCAGTATGGCGAACGTGTGCCCTACGTAGTCATCACTGGCGCACCTGGAGCCCGCCTTATCGATCGCTGCGTCAGCCCCGAAACCCTACTGCAGAGCGATCATCTAGAGCTCGACGCGGAGTACTACATCAGCAAGAACCTTATTCCACCACTTGAACGCATATTCAACCTCGTTGGCGCCAATGTACGGCAATGGTACGACGAGATGCCCAAGACACAACGCATCCGCAACGTTTCAATTCCCATGGCTCTCAGAAATGATAAAAGCAATGCTGTTCACGCTGGTGGTAACACATCTCTCAAGAAAACACTGGAGAGCTACATGAAATCCTCACATTGCATGGTCTGCCGTTCGAAACTCACTACTTCCGCACCAGCACAGTTTCCACGTGGCGAAGTCAAACCATACGCCATGCTGCCACTATGTGTGAGCTGTCTCAAGCGCCCGGCGCATTCGCTACTATCGTTGAAGTATCGCGTCTGGGATACTGAGACACGTGTATCACAAGTTGACAGTGTGTGCCGGCGATGCTCAAACCTAGCCTGGGGCGAGGAAATCAAATGTGACAGTAGGGACTGTCCTGTGTTCTACACGCGCATCAAGGAACGCTCAAGATTATCGGCATTGCAGGATAGTGTCTTTCCTCTCATTGAACTAATGGAGAAAGAGGATGATGAGACATACCTGGAAAGGGAAGAAAGCAGAGTGAAAGATGCGAGTAAAAAACTGGCTTGGTGAAGTTCTCGCCATTAGCTTGAGTATTGGTCACATACATTGATTCCAGTGCGAGCTACTTCGAATCCAAAAACGTATAACAAGTCTTGATCTTTCCACCTATGATAGTCAGGATATCTTCACCCACCAGCCCCATCTCCCCACTGCCAGGTCTCTTGATACCCCATTTCACCTTCGTCACCCATACATCATCTTCATCGTCATGTTTCAAGCACTCGACTTCATCTAGATATTTCATTAGTTCTTCCGGTCGTTCAAGAAGTCGTTATGACCCAAAGTTTACCTAGAGCAACAAACTCATCGCCTACTTCACCCATACTTTGTATCTTGTTCACCATTTCACTAATGGCCTCGTGTGATTTAAAAACACCTAGCGCGTCTACAAAGAGCACATCTGCGCTTGGTACCCAGAGATCGGTGATGGCTTGCATACGTGTAGAAACGTCTTTCTGACCGAAGATGGATGAGAGGTTGAGGAGTGTTAGGGATTTGGCACGGGATTGAGGGGTTGACATCTCTGTAAATGACGAGGTAGAGAGAAGTAAACGATGTGAGGGAGATTGTGTTATGTGAAATGGTTTACAACTCGAAACGAGTGAGAGACCAGAGGTTTATGGCTTGATGGTATATTATATTAAGATGAGTCGTGAGTAAGCAAAAGCTATATGCACTAACGGAAATGGGTAGGAGAAAGAACCCTGCTCATGCAGCAGCAGTTCTGACATGGGTTAGCAGCCGCAATTGTAAGGATAGAGAAGCAGTTGATTATAACCAACACAGAGCAGGTCTCGATTGAATGCAAGGTCTACTGGCATATCAGTAATGTAGCATGAACTCTTCTATATATTGTCACCATCCTCCAGCTCTACAATGAGAACATCCAGACCATCAACATCTTTGTAAGGTGGAGGCGGTGGACTCATGTAAGGTGGAGGTGGTGTTGAATCCACCACATAGGTATCCAGGCAGGGCTCGCCTTTAGCAGTAACGGGTAGCCATGTATCAACTTCATTGCGACGCCCAACATCGATCTCACCTAATTCGCAATCGATCTCTGTGTTCTCCAATCGTTGAACAATATGATACGCTGTTTCGATTGCGAGGTAGACGATGAGGAACTGGAGAAAGATGGTAGCCATGATGATGAATGCAATCGATGACAAGAATGCGTCGTCAATGTCCTCAGGGGAGGACTCCATTATGATAGGGAGTTCGAACTGGGGATCTCGAAATATATCGGACATGTGGATATCGGGTTTCAAAGTTAGTTGACGCGGTGTTGGTTGACGGTCCTTTCCAAGTGGTGCTAAGAAGCATGAGCTGATTCAATGTATACCTGGACGCGGCATTGTGAAGTAGGTGCTGTGCAATTTTGATGCGTTTCCTTGTGAAAAACGCGGGATTATTACCATAGAAGGTCTATATATCATGCTGAATGTGTGCTGTGACTACAGAAGTCAACACAGAAGGAGGCTTTAGGATGGAGTTGCAGCGACAGGCGGGGGCCGGGCAGTGCAGGATGTGGCACTAGTATGAATGAGGATTAGTACACACCCTTGACCGTTTTCCTACCTAGGTGGCCAGCCGGAGGACTGATCCGCGCCCTCTACAACTTAGCCGCCATCAGGACTATCTCCCCTAAGACTCTTTCCTTTTCTTATCGCTGGTTTCAACTTGATAGGCCTCTGCCGTTTCTCGAGTCGTGTGCTACCGCTCAGTCTTTCGTCCTTGGCAGTGTTTTATCACTATACCTTCAGCGAATCGCTGAGCGACCACGGAAGCGTAACAATTTCAAAAAGCACATAAGTGGCTTAAAAAGGTATTGAAAACACGCATAAGCACTTGGGGAGTTAGCCTGTACGATGACTGCATTCAGTTTCAATTTAACATACAAGGGACTATGACACCAAGTCCACGCACGCACGGAATAAATCTTACGATGTTGGGGGTGGGCTTTTGGGTCTGCTAGAGGCCTAGATTCATAGGGCAACAGTCACTGGTCTGGCTTTGGCGAACAGTAGGATTGAATCGCTCTAGTTGTATTTCACTGCAGGCCCTATGATCGTCGTGGGAATGAATCTCACGCAAGGCGGGAATCCTGCTGATAGCTGCCATCGAAGCTAACATGGACTGCCAACGGATGCTGACGGAATATCAGCATATCAGCAAGGTTGATTTGCCGCTCGCTGTATGCATTGAGAACAGGCCGCATTTGGGGTAGCTGACAGCACCTCGTATGTGATTTGCTAGTGGCTTCCAAGCATGTTCTATGACCTATCGCAGCAGGGTGATGATGTCGCTAGCTCTTACCTCTCTCGCGGTCACCTATATGAACAAGAAGGCTCCCGAACACAAGCCTGATGGGCAAATCGACTCTTATCTTCAGTAGTGTCAACGCGCAGTTTTCGAACAGCCTTGCACATTCCTGCAGCATTGCATACGTTACTACCACATCTGTTGGAACAACACAAAGCCTTTTGATTCAGTGCATAGTAGCGGCCATCGCTTGCGACCTTGTCATATTGTTTGTCCGTACTTAGGCACCCAAGATGGCGACTTTCGAGAAGGGTAGCGCAGCGCTTCCTAAGGCCCTTCAAAACCTCACGGCTTTACAGGTTTCAATTACCGTAATCGTTCTTGTAGGAACATAGCCGTGGCTAGTGATTTGATATAGTAGTCTGATATAGCAGTAGTTGTTCACAAGATGGATTGTCCAAGGCGTATACCGATTATACTTCCATCCATTGAGCCACTTCCCCGGCCCAAGATTTTCCGCTTTCACCCGCATACCAGTAAGTATGCCTGTACGAACCGGATGTGAGGGGTATACTAACCTCATGCACTTACACTTAGCAACTCTACGCTACGTTTGCGGGTAGATTGCCGTTCTACGTTGCTGACTGTCACAACAAATATGGACATGTTGTGCGCATATCACCCTACGAGATTAGTTTTACCAACTCTGAAGCATGGCGGTAAGATCTCAAAGCCTACAGAACATGTATCTCACTGACCTCGTACCTTAGTGACATCTACGGTTACGGGTCCAAAACTGGTCTTGGTTCCGCGCCTCCAAAGCATTGGCCCCGCTACGGTACAAATCCTAACGGCGTGCCCTCCTTACTACAAGATTCAGACGACACGAATCACGCTCGCGTACGTAAGATTTTCAGTCCGGCGTTTTCGGAACGTGCTATCAAGGAGCAAGAGCCATTGTTCATGAAGTACGTCGACGATTTGGTACAGATTCTCAAAGACGGAACCGTCTCCAGCACTACCGGCACTGCAACATACGATGTGGTCGACTTATACAGTTTCACAACCTTTGACGTGATGAGTGATCTTACCTTCGGAGAGTCCCTCCATATGCTCAAGACTGGCACCTACGATCCATGGGTGGGTACCGTTCTCGGCTTCATGAAAGCAAGCTTGCGTATTAACCTCATCAACACCCACTACCCGCTCGCTGCTAAGGTTCTGAAACCCATCATGGAATTTCTGTTCTCGAAAACGCGATCCCGACTCTTCGACACGAACAGCAAGCGCGTCACAAAGAGATTAGAGAAGGGGAGAGAGAGTAAGGTTGGGGTTGACTTATGGGATCTAGTGCTGAATCAGGAAGAGAAGGGCAAGCAGGGTCTGAGCAGGGGGGAGATGGACAGCAATGCTACTACATTCATGGTAGCGGGTACAGAAACTACGGCGACATTGTTGACCGGACTGACCTACCTGCTACTGACGCATCCAGAATGTCATGCGAAACTTGTCAAAGAGATCCGAACCACGTTTCAAGAAGAGGCAAACATCAACATGGAAGCTATCGCAAAATTACCATACCTCAAAGCGTGCATCAGCGAAGCTTTTAGGCTGTATCCGCCCGTTGCAGTAGGGTTATTGCATCTGACTCCTAGCGATGGATCAACAGTATGCGGACACTTTGTCCCACCAAATGTAAGTTCATTTAGATATCATGTCAATCATGTGAGCATAGCTAATTCAAATACCCCATAAGACCACCGTCTCAGCAACGCACTACGCCATGTACACTTCCGCCAGAAACTTCACCGACCCCCTTTGCTTCATTCCCGAACGCTGGACCGACGATGCAAGATTCGCAAATGACGATCGTGCGGCTGTGCAGCCGTTCTCTGTAGGCCCAAGAGATTGTTTGGGAAAGAAGTAAGATTTGCAACAGATATGATTGTGACGTCTGACTGACTGCTATCATAGTATGGCGTACCATGAGATGCGACTGATTATTACGAAAGTACTGTGGAACTTTGATCTGGAGTTGCCTGAGGGGAACGGGAATTGGTTCGACCAGACTGTGTTTACGCTCTGGCAGAAGGGACCGTTGAACGTGAAGGTGAGGATGGCGCAACAAGCGTGATGGGTGGAACGTCTGTGGTGTACTGTCTCTAGTGACGAAAGTCGTTGTTTGTATCATGAAATGGTCATACACGTTATCAAAACATAGCCTATTTACACTGTTGAAGATATGATCATTACCATCCCCACAGCGTCTTTATCGTATCACCGAACGTTGCTTGACCAGCCTCTTTTCTCTTCATACGAGCTACCCGTTCTTCGATGAATGTCTGCTCTAGTTGTTTTGAGACACCAGTCTGCGCCCGGATTTCACCTACTATGGCCATCCTCTCAATCTCTCGCTCTTCTGGTGTCAAACTTTGAAGCTTCTTTTCGTACTCCTTTCGTACATCGGGCTTGATCTGGCTCCAGACCTCTGTGTCGTCCAAAGTGGTACTTGACTTGCCAATCTCAGCTACAGGTACAGCTTTCCGTGGTGTTGACGATGCGCCACCCACTGCGTCGACGACATTTCGTTTCGACAAGATGCTTTCGAATTTCGGTACTGGTCGGCCCTCTGCTTTCGCCTTCTCCATCTCCTCTTCTTGTTGTATCATGCGCTGGTAGAGTTTATCTGCGTGCATTTGTATCCGCTCGTCTTCCTCCGGTGACCGCTCGTCCATGGTCATGTATCCCAGCGCCTTCAGAAACTTGGATTGTGTATCATAGCAGCGGTTGAACTTGCGCGACTCGGCGATACACATGGTTCCTGCTGACCACCACGACTTTGGATTCCGGAAGCATTCAAATTGTTCCATGTACTCGAGTGCACAGTTTTCCATGGCTACTCGTCCAATTGAGGCTTTGCGGTCGTTGTAGGCGTCTACGAGATCTCGTAACCGGTCTTGCTCCGACTTTCCACGATCATCGATGATATTTTGAGGGGTATAATTCTTCCATAAGTCGGCATAGCGGCCATCCTGGAATTGCGATTGCGGCGGTACGACGGGTTTTTGGGCGTCTGTTTGTGTTTGCGGTTGCGATTGAGATTGTGTCTGAGTTGGCGATTCGGTGGGCTTTTCTTTGGGAGCGGGCGGCAGTGAGGGTTTCGGGCCAGTGGGCGCTTCTTTTTTGAGGAAGTCGCGGAGGGAGGGATCGAGTTGGTCTTGCCCGTTGGAGCTATCGCCGCTTCCCCAGAGCCAGCCCATGGTTGCGTCGGAGTATGTCTTGGTTCGTGTTGGCGCGGTGAGCAGGTGAAAGTTCCCAAGTTGCGGGGACAGTGAACATGGGTTCGGCAGTCCGAGCTTTGGGACATGTTCTAGCGCGTCTGTCTCACAACATCGACTCGATTACGCGACGAGACGACACCAACCCCGACAATTGTTACGACCGACATTGTTATGGCGCCAGTCGGTATGTCTTGTTGTTCCATAGTCGTGGATTTGGGACCAGTGCTTACAAGCTCGTAGATCGCCGCGAACATCGACAACAACGCGTGCGCGGTGCTGGGTAAGACAATCTTAGAGATCTTGAGACACGCAAATGCTGACAACCACAGACCCTCATCTGTCCAGGCTTCTTTTGGCTTCAACTTCGGCGCTCTTGGCTCCCAACCAGCCAAACAACCCGCTCCTGCGCCTCAACCATCACCGCGTCGAACACCAGCCCGAAGTACCCCTCGCGCTGCAAATGGCTCAGCACAGCGGCAGAGAAGCGCGTCGCTCCAGCGCAATAGTGCTTCCAAACGGACAAGCACGCCGAAAGATAACACTGTAACCCCGCAGTTAGGCAAGAGGAAGCGGGGTTCTCCAAACGCGCAACCGGGCGCAGACGATGGGGCGGAAGATGAGCTGAGTCCTGGTCGGGAGCAGGCCGTGCGCTCCATCGAGAAGAGCAGGAGAGTCGTCGGCACGGTTCCACTTATACGTGAGGAGCAAGACAATGTACCAGACGAGTTATCTATATTGGACGAGGGCACCAGTACTGTACGCGAGACAGTCTTCGCCAGATCTACAGTAATCAAGCGGACGCCTCCACAAGCATCGTCGCAAATACGCGCGTCCCCTGGAAGCTCCCGCAAAAAGACGCCCGCTACCGAAAGAGTCGAGGAAGCGTCGGTCGCATCACGGCCATCGACAGCAAGACGATCCAAATCCACGGATCCTGGCCCAGCCACACCCAGTGTGCTTCCAAACGGGCAACCGAGATCATCGTCCGCTTCACAGTCCGGAACTGTTCTTGAAACACCAACCGCAGCTCCAGCGCATGAAGACGGTGAGGATGAGTTATCGCCACAACTCAATGAATCCACACCACGAGTGGTTGGTAGCGAACCGCGGCCGCAGCCAATGACACAAGCAGAGACAGAAATGCATGTAGACGAGCTCTCTCCACCCAGCCAACCGACTCCAATCCAGATATCACCGATAGCAAACGGCATATCAACGCTACAGATAAATGAGCATGAACCTGTGGAGCAAACCACTACACCGCTGCTGGCCAAACGCGGAAGACCGCGACGTGTTTCAGAGAATGAAACTGCGGAGCAGGAAGCCCTTCCGGAACCCGCTACGGCGAAGCCCGCCAAACGAGGAAGGCCGCCACGAGTAGCAGAGGATATCCAGAAAGAAGAGACACCTCAAGCAAAACCTACTAAGCGTGGCAGACCAAGGAAAGAAGTTGCAGTCCAGCAAAGCGAACTTCAAGCAACGCCAGACGTGCACAAGTCAGACCAAACAAATGGCGTGGATCCTACGGCGAAAGAAGCAGAGGTTGTCGACGAACTCTCCCCTTACCATGAACGGACGCCTATACATCCTCCGAATTCGACCACCCGGAAAAAGGATGTTGTAGAAATCTCTAGTGCGGATGAAGACTCGGACGCATCCGAAGAACCGGAAGTCGAAGAACCGGAAGTCGAAGAACCAGCTGAACCTTCTCCACGACCTAAGACAAGCAAACCATCTCCCGAACAGATGCGGCGCGTCAAGTCTACGACGGAGAAGCCCCCTCGCAAACGCCAGAAATTTGAGGGACCGAAGCATGCCATCTCTATCATGCGTATCAAAGGCTCTACCGTTCGAGGCATCACAGTCGCAGACACTACGCGTACTATTCTAGAAGGAACAATCGACCAACGTCTCAGCCGTATGGCCGAGAAGTTGCAAGCCTCACAAGACTCCGCTCGGCGCAAGGAACTACGAACAGAGATCAACCTCTCATTGTCCTTCAAGGAGAGCCTTAACGAGAAGCTGCTAGACTTGCAGGATGCTAACGATCTCCTGAGCGCCAACTTCAAGAAAACCAAGTTGCTCAAACGCGACAATGCCGAGCTACGCAAGGAAATTCTCAGTCTCCAAGACAGCAGGCAAGAGATTGCCATCGAACACGACAATATCCAAGCACGTTACGACGCAGAGAAAGCCGAAGCCGAGGCCAGAAATACCCTGAGTGACAACATGTTTGAGATTGAGGCTGCAATAAAGAATGGGCGTGATAAGGCACGTAAGGAAGGTAGAGAAAACGAGGGTCCCCAAATTCCACTTGGCATGCTACTGGAAACAGTAGGAAATGATGTTGCCTCGCGTGGTGGCGGTCTTCTTGCCAATATTAAGGGACTCAATGGGCTCTTGGAGCGAGCTGCAGGCTGGCTCGAAGGAAGAGCCTGATTGCACAGCGAATAGCTGGATGGCGTTTATTCTTGTGTACTTTCGGATACGATACCCGGCAAAACCGCCACCTTTGATATGATATTTGTCGTTCTTACATCTCACTATCTTCATCTTGCACTGCCTCAGCGCGATTATAGCGAAATTTGAAAAGCTATTCACGAGGTCTAGACTGCGGATAGTCCTGTTTGCTGCAGTGCTACCAGGAGTAGTCGCGTGTCTGCTTTCTTTCGGTCTAGCGGCCGCTTCGCAGATCTGGGGGCATCGGATCCGCTTTCATGCACATTGCGTAACCGTGCATCATCGCAGCAGACAATGACCTTGCTGTGCGCATCACAGGGTCCAGAGAACCGTTAAGTTAACAGTCCAGCCACCTAGTCTACGCTCATCTGACAGCTCCTTCTACATCTCGTGGGTTTCTGAGGCTCCGTCTATTCCCGTGTTGACACTCGCGCTTTGCCCTTCTCAGATTTTGACTTCCAAAGGCCAAAGCTTCTCATCCTCCTCGTCTGCAATTGTACAAGGTGCATCCAGCATAGACCCTTCCTTCCAGAAAAAGCAAAAGTCTTGTAATCAGCCTTGTGTTTCGCTTTCATTAAGGACCCCATCATTGTGTAGGTGGAAAGGCAAAGAGCATACGCGGACGAAGAGATTAGCTTCTGCCGACCTCGGGAGTATCACCGGACCTATCCCACCAAGCCTACTGTTTCTCCGAAGTTCACCGGATTGATACACGACCCAACTGACGTAGATTGGTCTTACATCAACTAACTCCAAGATGACTCGCGGACCTATCACCTGCGACACTAGCCTCCCAAAAACACCGAAGACGACTTTAGCACCAGCCACGCCAACAACCTCGGTCGCACCCCCTAAGACCCCACCGTCGACGAAATTTCCTCGCAATCCGTCGAACAAATTCTGGGCCCAGGAACAGCAGAGAAGATTATTCCTGGAACACCTGAAACGATGGTCCTTGAGCCACGACTCGAGCACTTTCTTCCAAGGCAAGATAAGTTTGCTTCCTCCTGAGCCTGGTGTGAATGAGGGTCTGGCGCTGGGCAAGACTGTGACCTGTATCCTGACCGACTCGAGCTTTACGGATTTCAGGAAGACTGTTGCTATTAGACTTTTCAACCCGCAAAAGAACAGTAAGAAGGGCACGACAGGCCATTTTGAACGGAATATGAAGAACAAGAGCATGGACCTATTCAGAAGCGATATGAGGCTCGCTGAGCACCGAGAAGATTGTTATACTAGAGAAGAGGATGCGTGGCCATTGTCTCCGTCAAAGCTGAACCCATCGACCAGCTACTACTACAAACTCGTCATCCGTTACGGCTCTGGCTGGCTCTCAGCACGCGACTACCTAAACAAACTCTACTTCTCGCATTTCGCAGCTCGTTTCCCAGGCCGGAATGTCAACTGCGTCACGGGCACGGCCGACCACTTTTTTGGCGTTCGTTCCAAAGCTCTTGGTCCACCACCCTGCGATAGAGACACAGTACCCATCCAGCCGCTCTTTCATCCCTTCCAACGCCTACCCACTGAGCTACAGGAGATGATCCTCATGACAGCCGTCGGTCTGACACGCGATTGCGATCTCACCAACGACCCGCGCAGAAACTGCAGCAACAATCCAAAAGCTACCGAGAGACCAATCAGTCTATCAACCATGCTACGAATCTCACGCCATATCTACACCACAATGCAACCGTATATATTCCATAGCACGACTTTTCACTTCGGCCTAAGCGGCACTACAAACTTCCTCTGGCAATCTGGACCCGTTCATCGCCCTCAGATACGGCGTCTGGCTTTCCATTTTGGGAAGAATGCTTTACTCCACTGTGTGCGTTGGTTAGCCGCAGATCCTATCTTTGATCTCTTGGAACCCCCGCAACCGAATGGTGGTTCTGGATTACCGCTCTTCTGGCGCTGTCAGTTGCGCGCTCTGGCACAGGAAGTGCATCTTTTGGAACTTGTTGTTGATATTGAGGGGATACCGAAAGCGGATATTGCCATGGTGGTTAGGATATTAAGGGGTGTGTTTGGCAGTGTTGAGAGAGTGAAGTTTGTGGATGGTGCTGCGCGCGGTAAAACAGAGGTTGTTGACAAGGGAGACGAGAGGTTAGCTGGCCTTGGGATAGGCTCGTGGAGGGACATGGTGAAGGGATACATCGAGAGGTATCGCCGCCAGATTGGCTGGCACAATTGGCATTTCAAGATGGACTTGGTGCCGCTGAAGGAGGAAGAGGTCGATGATTTGATGGATAAGGAGATGGAGTTTTTTGATAATTGATGACTGTGAATCGATGCTAACGATACAGGACGGGCGTTTCTTTGGGTAATGATCTAAGGGGAACGGGCTACGAATCATGAGTCATGCATTCAAATTCTCTGTATATATTGCTAGAAGTTCTTAGAATGTGTGTTATAGTTCCAGCACGATATGAGGGGTCCTTAGAACATCATATCGAAGATAAAACAGGGCGGTGACTTAAACACTGCTATTGATGCTCTACCGACAGGGTGGAAATGATAAAGCTACAGCGATGTTACAGTAAAATTGTCGGGCTCGTTTGATGTTCTAACGCCGCTATGGCATCGCTTTTATGAGAGGCTTTCTTCGCCCTAGGCTTTACCAATTCATTGGCTATATGCAGAGTTTACACCATCGAGACTTGGAATATGCAGGGAACGTTTTGTAGGATGAAATGAAAACACCATTGAAGGTGGGAAAGCTTTAATTGACATTACGCCTAAGTATGCCCAGCCTTTTGAACCCATTGTCCAAACGCCAGTAGCAGAAGAAGTTGACATGACAGGTATCCTGTAGCCCATACCAAACGCCGTGACTATGCAAACAAGACTAGAACAGGAGTAGAACAAAACGCTCACACTATACAAAACCATTGTCTCAGTAACTAAGTACTTCCATGACTCCTCAGTTTCCTCCCTGCTGCAAGTCCAGGGCCGACGCTATTGCCAAAGTTTGTAATGTTCTCTACATCACCACGGTCGCCAGCAACGCCGACCGTCTTCCTCGTCACCTTCTTCATGGGAAGCTTACTTCCATCATCGCCGTTGGTTCGCATCTTTTTACTTGGAGGAGCGCCATTGTTCAGCGAATCGCAAGATGATTGGGATACGAGACGGGGAAGAGGCTGAGTATGAGCTTCCTGCGCCACCACGTTAACATCTAGCTCCCGCAAGGAAGTGGGGTTGCCTGTTGGGATGTTTGAGATGGTGTGGGCGTGCGCACTGATGGAGTGGGAGAAGTTGAGTTTATTAGCCGTGAAGGTAAAGTCGGTCGGAGAACTGAGGGCGTTTGTAGCGTCATTGAAGATAGGTTGCTTGGAGGGGCTGCGCGCTGTGGAATCGGCGGTTGTAGGGCGGTCTCGAAGGCGAGAGAGGATTGTCTCGTGTGCTTCGGTGCGTGGCAGAGTTGAGGGGAAAGTGTACGAGACGCGTTGGGGTGTTTCGCCAGTGGGGTTGTACTCGATCAAGTTCTGCGAACCAACGACCTCGCGAAGCTCTTGGAGCGGCGCACGAATGTCTGCGTCTGCAGCAAGTGCTGGCAGGGTCTCTTTCAGAGTACTTGCTTGTGCTGACATGTCCGATTCGAGAGATTGAACGCGATCAAATGATGAAGATAGATGATCGCCGATGCTAGAGTAGGAAGCTGCCACTGTCGACGACAAAGCACCCAGCGACGCGATGTGAGCCGTGTGGTGGGTGTTGTTTTGTTCGCGGACTCGGGCCACGATGTCGTCTAGAGCCTGGAGTTGAGTGTCCAAGTGTGCCATCTGTGCCTCCACTGTCTTGACAGTGCTTTCGTGAACAGATGTAGTCGTGTCCTTGATCGAGGTGGAATGCTGAGTTGCAGCTGCAAAGTCTGACTTGATCTTGGTCTTGACAGCATCTCTTGACTTCGAGACACCTGCGAGGATGTCTCTCGATTTATCTGACCACGCAATAACACCATCGGCATAGGCATCTTGCTTCGTTTCGAATACAGCATTTGCAGTATTCAGCTCCTCTCGTACAGACTGGAGCTTCTCTTCCAGTCTCTTCTCCTGCGCATCAGCATTCGCGTTAACGATCGCGGTAATCTGCGACAACAGCTGTTGGCGGTCTTCGGCCGACCTCTGCTTCTCCTCATTCACGACCTTCTCTAGCTGACCCTGAGAAGATTTGCTCGCTTCGACCAAAGCTGCGTTGGCCTCGACCACTTGCTGGTGGAGCCGTTCGTTCTCAGTCTGCTGCTCGCTCAGATTCTTGACTAGATCGTCAAAAGTCGTCTTGAAGTCACGGCCTAGTCCAGCATATGATGCGTGAACCTGGGTATGGAAAGCATCCAGTTCTGTAATGATGTTGGCAGAGATTGTTTCTGCCGCCGCTGACAGCTCATCCAGCCCTGCGCCAATCTTCGTCTTGACATCTTCACGAAGAGTTTTGATCTCTTCTAGAACTTCATTCATGTGATCACGTGCTTGTGCAGTCTGGCCATTGACTTCCTGCTCAGATGTCTGGTATGCCTCCATCTTTTCCTGTAGGAAGGATTGCGAAGTGCCAAGCTTCTCAAGCTCATCTCTGACGAACGATTGCATACGTTCTGATATGGCGTTCATCAGTTGTTCTTGTTGCTGTTGGAACTCTTCAATCCGATCCTCCACCATACGAGTAGTATCAACAACCTGGCTTTGGGAGGAACTCCAATTCCGTCGGTTCTGGGATTGGAGTTCTGACTTGCGCCGGATTTTTGACCGCAGACCATCGATGGCTGATGTAGTCTTGCCGAGCGTTGAGATCATGTCTTTTCCAACTTCTGCCAGCTCTTGCTCAGTCTTCTGGTGCGCCTTCCGTAGCTCCGTCTCTTCTGCCAGATTTTCACGCGTGTGCTCCAGAACAATCTCTGTCTTCTCCAGTATACCCTTGGTGCCGTCCAAAGCCAGCTGCGTTTGTTCGTTGTCTTTCTTCAAGGTTTGGAAGTTGGTTGTGAGCTTGAACAGGTCTTCCACCTTATTACGGAGGTTGACCTCCATGGTTTCGAGCCGGTCGCGTTGCTCTTCGCTAAGGATTCGTCTCGATTCGCTGACTGTGGTAATCTCCTCGTAGTTCTCCTGCGTGAGATAAACACCATTGCGTTGCCGGGTCGCTATCAGTTCGCTCTTTAGCTTCTCGATCTCGGCGGTGTATTCTTTGAGTAGAGTCTTCTTGTTGATGGGCTGGTTCATTTGTGGCTTGTTTCGGATGTTCTTCGCGCGGAAAGCGTAATCGAGTGTGGATATCGTTTCTTCGAGATTGCTCTTCGCGGGCGACAATGTTGCGATGATACATGTTTTCGTGCGACCACCTAGTGAGTCTTGCAGCAAACGGGTCAGTTTTGATTCCCTGTACGGAATGTGAGAACTGCGCTCCACGAGTGCGTTGATAACACGACCCAATGTTAGCAAACTCTTGTTAATAAGACCGGCCTCTGCTGCGCGCTTGTTCTCAGCACCACTGCGTTGAATATTCTCACTACCCGCAAGATCGACAAGGTTGAGCTTTCCGGCGCTCAAATACTCCTGGCCATCCTCTGTTGTTCGCTTGATGTAGACGGTGATGGTGAAGACTGTGTGACTTCGCGAACTGAGGTCATTGCACTTGGTCGCAGCTACCTGTCGCTTGTGACTTCCGTTGCGCAACATTGTAATTCCTTCAGTAGCAGTCTTAAGATGGCACTCTTCCATACCCTGAACCATAGTTGTGGTAGAGCCCTTCTTGCTGTTATCGTCGTAGATCTTGAGTTTCGTCGCGTCGTCCGGGGACAGCAGATCACGGAGTTCTTCGTTGTATAATTCGATGAATGAACATTTGACCGAATTGTCGATCTCGTCGGCTTCGAGGCGTTCAAAGAGCGCGTACAGGACGCGTGGTACGATACCGGCGGCATCTGGAAGGGGGAGGACGTTTGAGATGTCACCAGTCATGGTGTAGGTTTTACCCGTACCGGTTTGACCGTATGCGAAGATTGTGCAGTTGAAGCCGTTAATGACCTGCAAGCTTATTAGTGAAGTTCATCGTACTTGTCTTGTCCCAACTCACTTCGTCCAAAATGGGTGCCACAACTTCGTCGTAGATCATGGCCTGGTCGGCAGCCGGGGAGAAGACCTTGTCGAATTGATATGTCTTGTTGCTCAGCGCACTCGGACCCATGGAAAGGTCTACTGCTGTGCCTCTGATTCCGTTGGTCGATACCACGACGCCGCTGTTTTCGCGTACTTCGCGATCATTGCGCCCTCTACACCGGACCACGACGTTGATGTTTGTTTCCTCTCCTCCATCGCCGTCGAAGTCAATTTTTCGCTTGAGAGGTGACGATCGTGGTATTCTCGCGGAAGCTACTGATTCTGCTCGCGAGGAGCGGCCGTCCATCGCAGGTGTTGCCGAACGGCCACGCGCCAGATGAGGGGGGCGCGTCGTGGGAGGGCGCATGCTCGTATTCCGCTTGACCGGCGGTCCTGGTCTTGGTAGTCCAGACATATTGACGTTCTGGGTAGGGTGAACGTGTATGTGCTGGGTTAGTATGTCATGCGTCTGGTGTTGCGGAACCTGCAGCAAAGTAAACAGTCGGTAAACACATGCACGCAGGGATCCGTCAGGCACGGACTGCGCGCTATTAGCCGTCGCGAACACCTCGCGCTACGTCAATGCAGCACGACTTGCATATCTCTATTACACAGTATGTTTATGCCTTGATCTGATGTGATACACCTCATCTATTAATCACTGGTTCCATGTTATGCAGCATACTGAGGTTCCTTGACGGCGCAAGAGACACGCTGTATACCTCAACGTTTGCCCCGCCACCCCTCATCTATCGCCGCCGTGTCGCGGATTGTACCCGATTGTATAGCGCATTGTGACAATACCGACTATCCTATTATTCTGAGTCGACTGCGTTGATCTTCGTTGTGCGTTCCGGGGGTTAGAAGGATATACCCGTCGCCCTGTCCTCGTGGACATAGCACGCGCGTGCGAGCTCCCTGTTATCTACAAGCTAGGCAACACATCGACTAGCAAACACATCGCGATTACTTACTACACTCATACACTTACCAAATACTCACCATGGAAGATGGAATTATGCAGCTTCAGCCAGGGCGCAGTGTAGGGTTCATGAGTCCGTTGCGACCATCGTTTGGGTTACCAAGCTGACTGAAACACAGCCCTCGGATGCTCCCTACACGAAGTACTGACGACTATCAAAGCCGAAGTCAAGGCCTTCCCACGATTTCAGCTCTACCACGACGAGTTGCGACCTATCTCATCCCCCGTCCAGGTCGTTCTTCCAGACAACGGTCTGCGACTACAGTTCGACGGCCCTGACCAGCGGCTGCGCCTCATCGAAGTGCTCGATTTCGCAAAAGCCAAGTTGGTATACAAGGACATCGAGGTGTATAAGCCTGGTGAAGTAGGCTTCTCAGGGGGCGTGTCAGGACCGAGGTTCCGGCATGTTTACGACAAGCTTCTGGGACCGACGTATGGCGGAGAGTACATACCCCCGAATTCAGAAGACCCAGATGCCAGAGGTACCTACAACCTGTCGTATCCGGGAATAGCTTTCAACTTTTCGGTTCAGCACTCTGCGTACTCTCCGAAGAAGGACTTCATCTCGCTTCTGTCCTCGTCGGCTACAGGCCCCGCGACTTCGATGGCAGTGTTCAATGGTGAATCGTGGCAGAAAGCTCGTGGAACACTGTTCACAGCAACACCGCCAAATCCGAGATCGCTAGCCCTAGGCAAAGCAAAGGATGGTGGTCCAGACGAGATTGAAACGGTCAAAGTACACGGAGAAGGTAGGATAGAGCTTGTCCGGCGGTCTAGTCCTCCGTTCTGGATTACTCTTAGCGAAACAACACCACAGGACTTGATCATGGAGCTTGGCGCCCCCGACTCCATCTATCGTAAGAATGATCATCGGCTATCGATACATAAAGATCGGAGGACGAGCGACGCATCGGATCTCTCGCCTGGTGGACTTACTCCAGACGATGACTCAGACCACGGCTCGGTGATCAGAAGCGATAACGAAGATGCATGGGAGGATGATGACGAAGCCGCACTAGAAGCTCAGGAGCGAGAAGTTGCAGCGGCCGAGCACTTCTACAACTATTACCACCACGGCTTCGACATCTTGATCTCACAGCCTACGCAGATCTCCCCACCCTCTCCTACTGCAGAGAGACGGGAGTCGGAGCTGCACAGCCAAGGCGAGCTCAGTGCGCAACCTCTGAACCATCTTACTGCAACAAAGATCATATTCCACGGTAACGTGCCTGGTTCGTACCAGTTTAATCGACATAGACGAAGCAGATGGACGCTCGAGCATGTGCCCTCAGCCATGTACCGTGATCCTCTCAGTTCCGAAATGGGCTTTGGAGACATCTCAGGCAGATTAAAGGAAGTCTTCAAGCCATATTACGAGAACGAAGAGCAGGAGAGGCTACAGCAACGTGGCATGGCCCTGAACAGAGGCTGGGGTGACAGTCCAGGTAGCAGTTGTGAGCTACTTGGAGGATGGGAGGATAGCTCTGGGAAGAAGAGCAAGTTTGCGAATGCTGGCAGTGTCTTGATGGAGGGTGCTGCGGATGTTGGAAATGTAGAGCTGTTTGGCTTTCCGGGCATGGTATTCGAAGTATTGAAGAACGGAGCCGTGAGCTCGTTAACTGTATACTGAGACGGCTTGCCATAACACGTAGTGTGGTGAGGTTCCGCACACAAGCCATTCTGCTCGAGGCATAAGTGCTGGATATGTAGCACGAGTATCAGACTGATACACGGTATGGTCATCATGGGTTGCTATTACTACATCAATCGATCTGAACCAATCTTGACAATCAAGTCTTGGAATACTTCACATACAGATGTTATTTATGCCTTCGTATTACTTTAGGAGTCTATATAGTCAACATTGACCTACTGCGGTATCATGAATTCCAGCAGCATTAGACTCTATCTCCGTGCTATCGCCGAACCGAGCCGAACCATCACCAAATGAGTGGTCGATCCAAAAATATTGGAACTCCAACCACCACTTCCCCGCCGATTTGCCCGCCCAGGATGCTATTATGCTAACCCCAACACGCATCCTCCGCGCATCATGGTCAAACACCCTCCGACTACCAAAATCTAGTTTTCCGCCGCGACCATTGGCGTCAACGAACCCAACCTACCTGAAACGATGCACCGATGACCTGTATGCGTGGCAGGCGAGCCCCGAACGCGTTATACGTTATGGACATTTGGAGAAGCAGTTGAATGAACAAAATGGCGAGAAAGAAGGCAGTGCGCCGACAAAGAGTTTTACTCTGCATGATGGACCGCCATACGCCAATGGCCCGTTGCACATTGGCCATGCATTGAATAAGATCACCAAGGACATCATTTGTAGGCACGAGGTTGGACAAGGGAAGAAGGTGTCGTACATTCCTGGCTGGGATTGCCATGGTCTGCCTATTGAGATCAAAGCTCTGCAGGCGCAAAAGAAGGATGCGGCGCAAGCGGACCCTGTAAGCGTGCGGGACGCGGCGCGCGAATTGGCAACCCGGACAATTGAAGAGCAGAAGAAGGGCTTCAAAGAGTGGGCTGTTATGGGCGATTGGGACAATGCGTATCAGACAATGGAGCGGGGCTTCGAGATCAGACAGCTGGAGGTCTTCAAGGCCATGTTCGAGAAGGGTTTGATCTACAGGCAGTTCAAACCTGTATATTGGAGCCCAAGCTCAAGGACGGCGCTCGCGGAAGCTGAATTGGAATATGACGAGGGGCATAAGAGCTTGGCTGCTTTTGTGCGGTATCCTATACACCTATCGGAGACACTGAAGAACGGGGCGCTAAAGGATGTTGATGGCAAGGTCAGCGTAGTCATCTGGACAACCACACCCTGGACGTTACCCGCGAACAAGGCAATCGCGGTGCACAAGGACATGCAGTACTGCGTAGTCAAGGACGCTGAGAAAGATGGTGAGCTGATCCTTGTTGCGGCTTCACGAGTAGCGGAATACGAGAAAATCCTTGAAAGGAAGCTCGAGATCGTTGTAGCAGATGTGCGCGGATCAGACATCGCCGAACAGGTGCAGTACGAGAATCCATTCCAGAAAGCAAACGGACTGCAGCCTATAATCCATGCGGACTTTGTCACTGACTCCTCGGGTACTGGGCTGGTTCATCTCGCTCCTGGACACGGTATGGACGATTACAACGTTTGCATGTCGCTCAACGTTCCAGCTTTTGCGCCTATAGATGATGCTGGTGCTTTTACAAAGGACGCTTTCCCGGAACAGCCCGAACTTCTAGAAGGACTGCCTGTCGCTGATATCAAGAAATCGGGTAGCAATGCTGTGTGCAACTACCTCCAGAAGCTCGACATGCTCCGAGGCAAGCAGAATTACCGCCACAAGTACCCCATCGACTGGAGGACCAAGGAGCCTGTCATCACGCGAGCTACTGAACAGTGGTTTGCGAACGTAGAGGGTATCAAGGATGCCTCGATGAAAGCAATTGCTAATGTCAACTTCATGCCTGCGACTGGTAGAAGTCGTCTTGAGAGCTTTATACAGGGACGAAGCCAATGGTGTATCTCACGACAGCGCGCTTGGGGCGTCCCTATCCCTGCTTTATACAAGGTCGAGGGAGACACTCTGAAAGCGACTATGGACTCTGAAACCATCGACCATGTCATTGAAGTGATCAAAGAACGTGGCATCAACGCGTGGTGGACGGATGCACAAGATGATCCAGCCTGGAAGCCGAAGCATCTTACCGGAACGTACGTGCGTGGTAGAGATACCATGGATGTCTGGTTTGATAGCGGTACCAGTTGGAAGCTTCTTCCGGAGCAAAAGGACAAGCCTGTTGCCGATGTGTACCTTGAAGGCACCGATCAACATCGCGGATGGTTCCAGTCGTCACTTCTCACACACGTCGCTACCCAGTCTTACTCGACCGAGACTGTCAAAGCACCATACAAGACTCTGATCACTCACGGTTTCACGCTCGACTCCGATGGTCGCAAGATGAGCAAGTCTCTTGGCAACGTCATCTCTCCAATGCAAATCATGTCAGGCGAGCTCCTTCCACCAGTCAAGCGAAAGAAGCAAAAGGGCGTCAAGCAAGATCCCGCAGCAAAGAACACGCCAACATATGATGCGATGGGTGCCGATGCGCTTCGACTCTGGGCCGCAAGCAGTGACTACACGCGCGATGTCACAATTGGGCAGCCCGTCTTGATGTCCGTAAACCAGGCCTTACATAAGTATCGCGTTACCTTCAAATGGTTGCTAGGCATCTTCTCTCTGCCATCTTGCCCGCCGCCCTTCACCTCCTTCAACGACCTCACACCCAGTATCACCGAATTCAAAGAACTTACAGACCGCCTCGCAATTCACCGACTTGTACAGGTCAGTGCAGAAGTGCACAACCACTTCGGGAAATATGAGTTCTTCAAGGGTGTCAACGCGATCAACAAGTACATCTCCATGGATCTGAGTGCTTTCTACTTCGAAACGCTCAAAGACCGCGTCTACACTAGCGATAAACCCGATTGTGAAACGCTCCAGCGTGTTTTGGGACTCATTTTCTACGAACTTCTGCAGATGCTTGCCCCAGTCTGTCCGCTGCTTGTAGAAGAGGTTTGGGATCATGTTCCTGCTGAGCTCAAAGAGAAGAGTAGTCACCCCGCACGCGCGGTTTGGTCGCCTCTTCCCACGCTCAAGGAGTCTGAATCGGCTAGTCTGGAATCCATGAACGAGACTACAAGTACACTGGGAGCTGCTATCAAAGTCGCCCAGGAACGTCTCCGCGCGGATAAAAAGATTGGTTCGAGTTTGGAAAGCGCAGCTACGGTCTATCTACCAGCTTCCAAAGCCGAAAAGCTGCACGCGGAGTTCTCAGCGTGCTTGCAACCCTCCGCTCCCAAGGCCACGGACGTTGAAACTCAGCTTGCTGGCCTTTTCGTCATTAGCGAGGTTAACCTTCGTACGCTGTCTGATTCTTCTGCTCCTGCAAATAACATCTTTACGGCGGAGGATCCCGACGCGATAAAGCAGCAATCGCAGTGGTATGAGGAAGAAGTGCTTTCGGGCGACAGTGGGGTGCTGGGTGAGGCGAAGGTGCTCGTGCATCCGCCTAGTAGAGAGAAATGTCCGAGGTGTTGGCGCTTTGTCAAGGAGGAGAAGGAGGATGTCTGTGGAAGGTGCGGGGATGTTGTTTCGCAGCAGAGTGATGCATAAATGCGCTTGTCAGGTTCTCCGAGTTGTAGCTGCAGAGCTACGTTGTATATTATTGTACCATCATGAGCATTACGGAAAGCCCGAGTGTACCATCAATTGCATATACAATATGAAATGGACGCTGTGTACATAAGTTGAAAAGAAGCATAACAGAGGTATGCATGCTGTATCACTTTCGCTCTTCAATAGTTTCACGTATCATGCCGTCTCTTCCTCGCCAGATCCTCCCTCGGCGTCAGGTCTTCGTTCTTTTTGGGCAAGGAGCTTATCGCATCTTCACCGGGGAGTTCTGCAATTGGCGTGCGCGGTGCACCCTGGCGTCGCGTCCTACTAGCGGCGAAATAGTCGACAGTTTCTCTGCCTTCGGGTGGAGGGCTGTAAAGCTCAGCAGGAGTGGTGTCGGGCCACAGTTCGCTGATAGGAGCTTTGGCTTTACTTATTATTTCAATTGTTGGACTCCATTCAGGCTCGTACAACGCTTCCATCGATGCAGATCTCTCCTTCGGTAGGTAAAACCCATCTGCAGGCTGACTTTCTTTTCGACTACGGAAAGGGGAGAGGATATTTGAGGTAAAACGGCCAGCTCGCTGTCGAAGAGACAGAGGGGGAGGTTTTGGTGCACCGCGAGATTCTTCGCGACGCTGAAGAGTAGGTTGTTTTTGGATCGATTCAAGTGAGGACGCAGGTCCGCTCTGCGTTTTGAGCGCCTGAGCGAACTTCGATTGAACAATTTCACCTCCGCTCGGGATACTTGTTGTTGAAGCATTGCTGGGTGCTACTCCCCAAACGCCGCTGGGCGTTTTATAGGGCTCGGAGACTCCTGCTTCATGCTCGTTATACATTGCATGTCGGGCTTCCTTGAACTTCGGCGTGATCTGGTCCCAAGAAGTATCTATCCCTTCTCCCATATCATCTTCGAGGTTTTCCGGTATTTCCTTGTAGTACGATTCGTGTCGTTGCGCAGTTTCCGTGTTCTCTATAAGTGGGTTCCCATATTCAATACTAACGCTAGGCACTCCAGAACTGGGCTCAAGACTCGAAGTTTCTGATGCTTTCCTCGCTGATTCCAGACTAGATGGAGCTGGAACACCTTGCCGTGCAGCGTTCGATGATGTGTCATCTTCCTCCAGATCAGCCATATAATCTGTTTGAGGGATTGCAAACAAGGCGAGTTGTTCTAAATGCCGTGCAAGATGAGACTTTAGTTTGTTTGCATGTTGACCACACAATGTACAGGTTCCCGAATGCGCATTTGAAGGTCGCTGAAAGCCACGATGAAGACTCAGAAGCTGCGCTCCCTCAAGAGGTTCTGAATGAACTGTGTGCATGTGATCCAGGAATTCTTGCATATCGACAAAAGACTTGTGAGACGCCGTGTTGCAGAACCACTCAACGCGGTGCGTACGTGACTCATGGTTATACCAGTCGTCCTTGTTCTCGAAGAAGTAGTCGTTGAGTTGGCAGTCTGGGTAGGTGCATATGTATGGCTGAAGGTCTGATAAGACATGCTTTCTTGGGCGCATGTATCAGCGATATCCCAAAGATCTCCCAATGGGTTTACTTACTTCCATCTACGTTCCGATGTAGTTATTTGGGCAGTGGAACAGTAAGGACATATGTACCGTTCCAGAACTCGTCCTTCTTTTGTCCTGGGTCGATTTGGAAACCTGATCGTAATCGCATTTGCTGTCTGCTCAGATGCAATGGAAGACCCGGACTCGGATACTGACTGAGCATAAAGTCCAGTCGTTGGCAAAAGTGTCGCCATGGGAGCGTTGATTCTTAAGGTTGTCGCTTTCGTAAGCTCTGTACGTTGACTTGGGGCCTTCAAACTGGGCGCTGGCTCGCTGGCCATATCGGCTTCAAGAGGGGAGGGTATATTGTTATTTTCAGATTTGGGGACATCAACCACTGCAGCTTCTTCCACTTGTAAGCCATCGGTGTGGTCTTTGCGATACCGTATCAGTTGCCTGCGCCTCGATATCATCTTCGCCAGGCGTGCAGCGACTGTCTCGTTAAGGCCGGGGAACTTATCTCTTACGTAAATGAGGTCAAATGGCAAGTATCCGGTTATATCAGCAACTGTTTTGTCCTTCATACGATCGGCTGGCGCGGGACGTCGGATGGGAAGCCTCCAAAGACATTCAACAATGAAATCGGTGGAGTCCAGCAGCCCTGGCTTCGCTGGATATTGAGGCCGACCACTTTTCCGATCTGCATCTTTTCGACGCAGCTTCTGTTCTGGTTGCTGCTCCACCTCAGAGTCAGAAGAAACTTCCCATGGGGAATCAGACTCGTCTGATTCGTCCGTATTCGCACTTGACGGCTCGGAATCTTCATTTGAGTGATAGAGAGCCGCTCCATGCTCTTTCCGGAAGATGAACAAGGCTTGCAGAACTCAGGTTAGCAACCTCTTGATTCATATGTCTGACGTGATTACCATACCTTTGTTCAACTGAGTCTCAAGTTTTCAATTAGTTGTTGTCCTTAATTTGAGATATTGCAGAAGGCAAAGGGAATGGTAACGAAACTCAAATTTCTTACACAACTTTGCAGGTCCTGCATCAAATTCAATACCTATGAATGGGTTAGTATTGACTTGTTATATGCAACAAGTTATTAATACCTGACTTTTGTAAAAAGACGCTTCTCTCAACCGGTAATCAAGAGATAGTTTGTACTTATTAGCACCATGTATAGCGCCGACGTTTCCTGCCCAAAGCTTGTATCTATCGAAGACATCCTGCGCCTCATTCAGAAGTTCCTTGTGAGAGGGGGAGTGGGATGCTTCGATGAGCGTGAGGAAAACAGAAACGCAGTTAGCGTGAGCTTGTGAGATAGACAAATCCATCTTCGCAAGACAACATCTCGTTGTTGAAATGGAAGAAGTATTGCGCTGATCAGACGAGAAGGCTGAGATATGATGACCAAGGTTGTAGACGAGACCACGTGGTTCAGCTGAAGACTAGAGCTTTTCGAGCCTAGCAACAAGGCTGAGAGAACACACCTTCTCTCCAGCCTCATCTATCCTCTGTGCATCCTTTCTGCAATCAAATACTCGGCACTATCTGGGCCTTTTGGCTGTATCGTGCGTCTTATACATCGCTTATACATCCCACCATTATCTTCCCGAAGTTAACAGTCTGACCGATCAGCGGCGTCACAAGCTCCCTCACCATGTCCGGATTTGAGATAGCCGGGATAGTATTGGGATCGATTCCGTTGGTTATAGTAGCTTTGGAACACTATGCTGAAGGGGTACGTAGCGCAAAAACTTCACAGATCATGACTGATACCCTTCCAGCTCTCGACCATAAAGAGCATGCAAAAGTACGAGGAGGCATTCGGATATCTTCATGCTTCTTTCGTGACTATTGCTTGCATCTACAGAAACTCTTGTGAAGAGCTTTTGAGTCCATTAGCTCTTTCTGATGCTCAACTATCCCAGCTTCTTGAGAATCGCGAAAGCTCAGCATGGGAGAACCCAGAGCTGAGCGATGCTTTGCGCAGTCGATTAGGAAGCAATTATCTGCCCTTCAAGTCTTCTGTGAAGCAGCTAAACAAGAAGATCAACCTTTTCGGGCGCAAGTTGCAGCTAGACAAGAATTTCCAGGTGTGTACGACGTGGTGCAACAAAGAAGGAATACCTGCTAAGGGATAGTAGCCACCGTGGACTACAGCAACAGGATGTGTCGATACGGCGGCACGAAGCAAATTCTTCAGTGATCCCTGAATCCGCATAAAAGGAGGGTTCAAATCGAAGCACTACAAAGAATTGCTATCATCTATTGAAGAGGACATTAGCCGTATATCCAATCTTACGGCGGGGGCGATTGCGCTTGAACCATTGCGACTTCAAAGAAGACGTAAAGCCAACACGGAGTATCTGATCAGATTTCGTCAGCAGGCAGAGAAACTATACGACGCTTTCAACACACGATGGTCGCCAAGGTGCATGTGCCAATGCACACATCAAGCAAATTTGCGTCTTGATATACAAAAAGACGACGAAGCAGGTCAATCTTCTACATTCAAACTTGTATTCACTTTTGGCTCATTACACGCTGGAACAACCGCCCCCTGGAAGTCGATTCCAGTAGAAATCGAGGCTGTTGATGTCATTGATACGCCAAAACCATACAACAGCTCACCGCTTCCCAGTATTATAGTCCATTCGAATATCAAAGCACACGACCACTGGAAGTGCCTGAAGAGAGCTCCAGACATAGTCGATTTATGTGCGACACTGCAACGCTGTCCAAGTCCAGACTGCATAGGGGTGATGAGCAGCAAGCTCGCCAAGCACCACATCCACACTCTCCACTTACCCAGCGCAAAGACGACCGACAAGCGAGTCACTTTGCAAGAGATTATGACGACACAAGGTACAATCTTTCAGATCAAGGAAAAGTGTACACTAGCCCTCACCCTCGCTTCCGCAGTCTACCACCTTCACAACACACCCTGGCTAGAAGAAACCTGGGATCTCAACGATATATGCATCCTAAGCCAATCCTTACTATCCGACCAGCCATACATATCGCGTGAATTTCCTGCCACAGCTGCATCACCAGCACAGAGCCAAAGGATGCGTATCATCAAGAATAGTATCATCTTCGCTCTCGGTGTCGCCTTGCTGGAGATCTCGTATGGAAAGCTTCTAAAAACGTTTGTCACTCCAGAAGACCTCGACGCGAATGGAAACCGTACAGCTTTCACCGATTATCTCATAGCGGATCGTTTGGCAGAGGGCTTGCGAACGAGGGAGTTGCCGAACTATGCGGATGCGACGCAGAGGTGTATACATTGTAACTTTGAAGCTTCGGTATATAGTCTCGATGACGACGATTTTAGTGAGAGGTTCTATCAAGGGGTCATCGTGCCGTTGAGGAAGGACTACGAGTATGTTGTTAGTACTGCTGTGGCGTAAAGTGTCTGGAGGATAGTGTACTTGGAGTGAATCATAACTGTTCAGGACATCAAGGCATCACTGTCCTGTCGCTTGATCTACAGCTATACCAATCGAGAACTCACAAACATGTGCACCATGTACAAGAACTCGAGTTCGAAGAACATGAGTAGATGACACCTGAGGTAGGTATTCAGGAGCTATGTGAATTGGCCACTGCTCCACTTAGTGGGACCGCGGAGCGTTACTCCGCATGTCAAGCGCTTCACTTGTACGCCATCCCACCATTTCCAACGTTCTCGTTTCCATAGCTAGAACCATCAGCATCACCTATCGTACTGACCCCTACTATAAAGACTGCGCTGCTACGTAGCATTCGCATGTTTTCCCTCTGATGTAGCACAAACAAACGTCCGGAAATCTTGGCGGCAAAGCGGTTAGCCTCCAGATACCGGGCAAGTTGCGGTGCCGACATGGAGCGATTTTGAAAAGCATTCCCCGCATCCGTGATGATAGCACTAGAGTTCTCCCACATCCGATCATGTCAAGTGCCTACGTGAAGACGGACTACAGTGTTAGATCACTGAAGTCCCAGTGTATTGACTTCGGCTTCCGGGCTTCACAGAGTCCGTCAAGAGCCAGGCTGGAGAACTCCGAGTGTGGGACCGACCCTTGACATGGATATACAGAACCGACAGGGTACCTGTCTTTGGGTATCAAGAACCTATTGTGAAGTCTTGGATACGAGCAATAGATGAGATGATGACTATATTAGCGAGTGTTTCTAGGGCGTCAGGCAGGAATGTCCCTGGATGGGTTCGCGCTGAGGCCCGATGAGTAGACAGGTAGCTGGCTGAGCAAGATTTATCTGTGCTTCTGGACGGCTCCAGGCCGTTCAGCTCTATCAATCTCCACGTATACTGTGTAGGGGTTAAATGAGACAGACATGGAGGCAAAATAGGCGGCGCCATGGCAAAGGTAGTGAGCCATGTGTTTGGTGCGTGCGACGAAGACTCCGGAGTGTTCGATTGGAGGTTACTCTCTATAACGCGCAATCGACCCTGCAGCGCGTCAGCTGAATTGGGTACATTGCAAACCTCAAACATAGTCAGCGATAGCTTGTAGGCTAAAGGGCCGTTGGCCGATCTGGAGTGCGAACGATCGGAGTGGTGCTACGCATCTCTTGATTTGCAGGGTGGTGCGGTATACTAATGGAAACAAAGCCTATTTCTTGCAGTCACCTACTAGCTCGCAGTATGCTAGTAATTGTAGTATTGGTTGGAGGGTAACAGCGTTGCGGACTTGGCGCCGGGATCGGACTGAATCGCGCAGGCAGCGGGACGAGAGCTTGTCACGATTTGCCATGGGACAATTCATTGCCGTGACAGGTGTTGACCCCGGATTCGTGCTTACCAAGACTTAGATCAGCAGCCTTGTCACGGCCTTATCTTGTATTTATGAGGCAGGGTCGAAGTCTAGAGAGCGAATAGCGGAGGGTGCATCGATGTTATCCCTATTAGCGGCCCCTCTTAGTGTAGTCGCAGCTCCTTGCTAATTCCAGTGTATGGAGCGAGTACGGCTGCGTGGTGGTCACGGACCAAGCTGCTTACGTGTAGCGTGCCCGAGGGTTCGGCATAGAGCAGCGACCTGCCGCAATCGTGTTAATGGCTGGGTGAGGCGGCTGAAAGAAAGCGACTTGGACATGGAGAGTCGGACAAGGTAACGGCATATGCCGTGTGCCGCAACTCGCAGTCGTAAGACACGAGGGCAGACGGGCGGGGATCAGCATTGGTTGATCAGCAAGCAATCGCCCGCAAGCGGACCGAACAGGGGCTCTTTGTTCCCCCCCACAGCGTGCAGGCACTGGCGAATTGTGGGATCTGCAGGCAGCTTCACGAGTCGCCACTTCCAGAATACTTCTGAACTGGGTTCTCTCGGGCAGATGACGAAGCTGCGTGGCGACATGTTGCGGGGGAGTTTGGGCGCTTGGTGCAGGCGTGCGATGCAGGCGACGGCAGACGGGCATAGGATAGCAAAAAGGAAAAGTTGGAGCTGGTGCCAGCGCACAACGAGTAGCGGATGTTAGCCAGTCATAGCGCAGGCAGCAGAGGCAGGCGTGCTGTATGTAATCTTTGCAGCTGTGCGGGAACTGGGCCAGCGCTGGGATGCGTTTCAGGACCGAGGCCGTCCTGCAGCCAAGCTTCCCCGAGCGGCTCTCTGGGTTCGTCGCAGCCCTGCCGGGGCACGAGGGAGGGCGGGCGCGTGAACGTCTGGCTGGCAGCGTCGCGAGCGTCGCGTTGCAGAGCCAGACGGACGCGCACACGGTGAGACGGCCGCCTAATCATGGGCAGTCGCAGGGCGTGCGACGGCGCTGCGGAGCATTGGACGGATAGAAAAGCTTCCAGAAGGCTTCGAGGCTTCGACGGCTGCTGGTCGGTTTCGACATGAGTGGGGATTGCCCACCAGTGCGCCTTCCTCTTTTCGTCTCGAGTAGCCCAATCACGCAACGCCTGCACCTCTCCTCCACCACACTCAATCGATTCCTATCCCCGACCTCTGTCCTTGCTCAGCTCGCCCTCAATCCACCCTCACCATCTTGCCCGCGCCCGATGCTGCTCAGACTGCAGCCCATACTGCGAGTGCGCTCATGCGACACTGACGCCGAGGACCACTAGCCCCTGCGTCTGCGACCAAACCACACCACGACCCTCACCCGCAAGCCCTGAGCACTGCGCTTCGTGTCGAGGACGCTCCTCAAACACGCTGCAGTCGAATCCGCAAGAGACGCCTGTAGTGCGCTGTGCATCCCGAGTCTCGCCCGCTGCCTCGTCCCGCCTGCAGCTGAGTGTGAGAGTGAGAGAGAGAGAGCGCGCGAGGCAGCTGCGTCCTGTGCCCTCCCGCCATCGCACCTCCCATCCCACGTCGCTACCCGCCTTCCTTGTCGCATCCGCCCGTTGCGCCTACCTCGTATACAATAAACACAGCACGTTAGTCTTGTGTGCACTGGCTGCCTCTCTCCGCATCGCTAGGTTCCCTGGAGCTCACACAGACGTCGTCGTTTCAGACTGCATCTCAGACCAACCGGCGCACTCCCGCGATCCCATCTCTGCGCTCCCCCACGCTTCTAGACGCACCGCACCGTCTGAAGCTCTCCTGTGTTCATTCCCACCGCGCTCGACACCTGCAATTGGCCATCGCATCCACCACGCTTCCGCCTCACATTCACCCGTGACTCTACTCGACCCCCTTCAGCCGCATCATCGCGATCCACCACCTTCCCCATTTTGCGACTCCTCTGCAACATCCTCCCCTCTGCGCTGGAGACCAGTGCTGTCTGGTCGCCGCACATAGGTGGAGACAATGGAACATGGCGCGTGCAATGTTGTCTACATTGACCGGCGGGCCAACGATGAGCATGTGCGCAAAGAGACGCTGTCCAAGTCGCTTGTTGCGAGGACCACCACCACAGGGAATGTAGGACAGAGCTACTTTGCGCTCGGCAAAACATCGCCGCGTGAGGTACACGACAATGTTGAAGCGATATTATCCATCTCCTCAGAAGGTAGTCTGTCCGCCATCTGCACTCATATCCTTACTGACGCGTCCAACAGTACACATCTGCAGCACCGGCCGCGCCTGCCTACAGAAGATCCACCAGCTCATCGACTCCACCAAATCCAGCATTCCCACCTTTGTCATAATAGACATACCGTACGATGAAGAGCAGCGAATGAAGCGCCTGTCTCGGGAACCGCGCACGCCGTCGCCTACCTCATCGCGTCTCACACGGATAGACACCAGTGAACCCGACGACATCTACGCCATGCACCTACTCACCCACATATCCTCCGAAATCTCGTCGCGAAACTTCTCCAAACTCGTCGTACCTGTCGTTATGCTCTCGGGCTTAGGTACCGAAGAGCCTTCTTCAGCTGGCCCGCTCCCGTCGCCCGGTCTACAGGTGTCGTTTTCGATCGGTGACACGGTTCGGTTGACTCGATACCTGGATGCCGGTGCCGTCGACGTTCTGACAAGTCCCATGTCAAGAGATCGCATGCTTGGCTTGGCCGTTCACGCCTATCGGTTACAGAAGGAGTTCTCAAGAGAAGAAGCAAGCTTCCTGACTACTAAGAGAAACCGGAAGCTGTCTTGGGTTGGTGTCGATGATACTAAGCCATACGCCTATCTTCGGGAGGCCATGGTGTCCAATCTGATGACTGGTATCTGTAATCCCGAAACAGTAGGCGATTCACTCGAATCTACGTAAGTGCACACGATGAAACGAAGATTCGCGACTAACGACAGCAGGGATTTCCATCTTGATGAAGATCGCCAAATGATTGTTGAAGCTGCGGTAGGCACTTGGGCCTTCTCGGCGCACGACTTCACCGACGATGAGCTTCTTTATGGCGCCTTTGTCATGCTGAAGCATGCACTTCAAATGCCTGAATTGGAGAAGTGGGCGATAACTGAAGGTAAGTGAAGCACGTGCCAGTACCCTCTTCTCCGCTAACGGATCTCTAGATGAGATGATCGTCTTTCTCTTGGCCAGTCGTACCGCCTACAACGAATTCGTCAAGTACCACAACTTCCGTCACGTTGTCGATGTCCTCCAAGCTCTTTTCCACTTCCTCGTCCGAATCGGCACTCTGCCTCCTTACCCATCGGCCTCCTCCAGTATTTCCGCTCCGAAATCACCAATCGCTGAGCTTCTTAAGCCTTTTGATGCGCTTACGCTATTGATATCAGCCATCGGACATGATGTCGGTCATCCAGGAGTCAACAACGCTTTCCTCGTCGCATTGAACGCACCACTCGCTCAACTCTACAACGACCGCTCCGTCCTAGAATCCTTCCACTGCGCTGCCTATTCTCAGATATTACGCCGCTACTGGCCAAGAGCGTTCGCTGATGCTGCGATGCGCAAACTCATGATCAACAACATACTTGCGACCGATATGGGTCTCCATTTCAAATACATGAGCGACTTGGGTAATCTACAGCAGAAGGTTGCGCATGAC